TGTTACAAAGGGGTTGTGACCCACAGGTTGAAAACTGCTGATCTAGGGGCTTTATACTGTCAGGGGAAATACATTTGGCTAGAACTTGACAGAATTCAACGTTGACTGAGTGAGGGTATTAATAAATGAATGCATTTCTTTCAGCGGAGGGAGGAGGTGGCAAGGGGTCCATTCCAGAAGGGGCTTAGCTTGTATGAAATCCTGGAAAAAGTGATTTCTCTTGTCTTATTTGTATTCCAAGAGTGCAGTTTAGAGAGAAAAACTCTGTTTGCTTAAAGCCTGGAAAATGGAGGCTGTGTAGAGTGGGGAGGTCCTTTTCAGCCCTGAATGGGGTACACCCCATGTAATTAACATCTACTTTCTTCTAAAACTGAGTCAAGTTCATCTGCTAAGCATGAGGCAAGTGAGGAAGAGAAAGTGGGCTAAAGAAACAAGGAAGAGATTTTGTAGTAGAATAGAAATAACAAATTTGCTGAACTGGGTCCATTTCCTTGTATTAAAGATATTTTTCTGGAACAAAATTAATTTTTCATTGCTTGTTAAACTATCAGTTCAAGATATCTCTGCTGCAAGATTGTAAATTCAATAGATGGGGTCTGTGTCTTCATAGATGGAATGTGGTTTATTATTGGCGCCATTTGCTTGGGTTCTTATCCCAGCTCTGTCATTTTCTATCTGCATGATTTGGCCATGATGTGGGGCTGCTGCTCTGTGGTAGCAGGGCTGGGCCTGTTGCTGGCAAGGAACAGCCACTCCGTAGGGGAATTTGGATGGCTTCATCTGAAGTTATTCAACTTCTTTGCCCCTTAGTTTTCTCATCTGTATCTTCTTCATAGGATTGTGAGGGAGATGAAGTGAGTTTCCAGGGACCCCTGAATAGTAACTGGCAATGGTAAAAACTCAGGAAATGATCCATTGTAATAATCTTGGCCCTAGTCAACCCTCAGCAGATAACACAATGTCTGGATTACAGTAAGCCTTAAATGCATGAATTAGTGTGTGGAGAAAGACTGATGTTCTGTGGCTCAGCCCCTATGGCTAACTGTTGTCATCATTTCTACCCCATTCTATTCTCTTCCCTGTACCTTGGGGCAAGATCCTCAGGGCTATATTTTTTGAAATCCCTTTCCGGTGAGTGGGCTTATGTTTGATTTTGCCAATGAAATGTGTTTTTCAAAGGTATGAAAAGGAAAGAGAAGGAAAATAATGATTTCTTCATACGAGGCTGGGAAGAGGTGCGTGAACTTTGGCAGATAACACATGGAGTGTTTTTGCTGCTACATCAGGTCATTCTCCTAAGAAACATACAGTTTCTTGCTACGTGAAGGCAGGGAATCCTTTGGCTCTTCCAAGGATTGTGTAAATTGCTAACTGCCTGCATTAAATCCCTTCCTTCTTAAAATACCTATGAGCCTTTGGTTTTTGAATTAAACCTCCTTGTTGAGGGATGAATTTTGTTTCTCCTCCCTTCATAATCATATGTTGAGTACTTAACACCAACTATTTCAGAATGTGACAGCTTTTGGAGATCAGGTCTTAAAAAAGATAATCACATTGAAATGAGGCCATTAAGGTGGACCATAACACAATATAATTGGTGTCCTTATAATAAAAGGAATATTGGACACACACAGGGAAAGGCTATATGAGGACACAGAGAGAAGGTGGATGTCTGAAAGCCAAAGAGGGAGAGAGAGAGACCTTAGAATGAAACCAACTCTACCAACGCCTTAGACTTTTAGTTGCTGGAACTGTGAGGAAATAAGTTATATTATTTAAACCACCCTGTCTGTGCTATTTTGCTATGGTAGCCCTAGGAAACCAATACATTAATCCAAACAATAACTGGATTGTTAGAACAACAGAATCTAAATTGTCCCTCAGACTTTTTGGGATAAGACTGTGGTATGGTGAGTCTCTGAGATATCACATATTTGGGAGTCACTTGAAAAATTCACAAGGCCACTTTTATCCAGAAATTGCTGCTAAACCAGTGTCATATAAATTCTCTATCACAACCTAGATGAGAGATGAGTTCTGATCAACATGAAGGATAAACTGGCACAATGTGTATTTTGTGCTGACCACAAGATTCAGTTGTTTCTCCACATCTACAAAGACAGCGAGGTGTTTACACCCCCCTCCAGTCTGGCCCAGGCCCTGCCCACACTGCTCTGGGGCAGTGGGGCTGGGCTTGTTGCTGGCAAGGAACAGCCAGCCATACAGTAGGGGAGTTTGGGTGGCTTCATCTGATTGCATACTCAGTTTTGAAACAGAAGAAAAAAGAACACCCAAAATAGTGTAAGGGAAGTTTGAAAAAGGAATGCAAACAGATCTGCCTGCTGAGGAAAAGAAAGAGATCCTGAGGAATCCTTCCTCGGAAGGGGAAGCGAGTCAAAGGGCTTAACTTGCAGCACCTCTGTGATTCCCAACAAGAAGCGATGCAAGTTAAGGACTTCAACACCTGCCTTGAGACTCATCTTGCCCCTAAAGGTGGAGGCTTACAAGCAGGGTTCAGTAACAACTGGATGCCAAGGACACATCAGCCCCTGGGGGATGGCAAATGGGGCAGGGCCATCTGGCCTTCCAAGAGGTGTCCGAGACAAGTTTGTTGGTATCTTTTATTTTACTGAGGAGGAGGAATTTGTGTTCTAGAGGGTAAAATTCCCCAAAGCCATCCAATGAGTCCTGACACACCTGGATTGATTCCAATCTAGGTCTTATTCTATGATCATGTATTTAACCATTCCATCATATTGCCTAAATTGAAACATTTCACCAACCTATCAACTGAACATTTCCACTGACTGAAAACATCTATTGAATTACTATAAATACCACTGGCAAATGTCTCTTCCTTTTTTTTTTTTTTTTTTTTGAGACGGAGCCTAAAGCTATGCCCCTGGGTAGAGTGCCATGGCATCATGCTCACAGCAACCTCCAACTTACTCTTGGACTCAAGAGATCCTCTTGCCTCAGCCTCTTAAATAGCTGGGACTACAGGTGCCCCCACAACACTGGCTATTTTTAGAGATGAGGTCTTGCTCTTGCTCAGTCTGGTCTTGAACTCCCCAGCTCCAGCAATTTCACTGACCTCAGCGCCCCCCAGACTGCTAGGATTACAGAATGAGCGACTGCACCTGGCCTCAACTGTCTCTACCATTTATAACAGCTCTACCCAAAGTATATTCATATGCACCATTTAGTCCATACCATGGAGCTCATTTAAAACAGGGAGTACTTTTGTTTTCCTCATAGAATCAGAATATAACCAAACAGGATTATTTTAACTTGTGTGTAGGGGTTAGGAATGAGTATTTTCCCTGAATATTTAAAACAATTTTCTTAAATGTTCTATTATTACAGTGAGATGAAGTTGTATTACATATTTACTTGGATGATTCATTCTAAGATTGTAATTCAGATAGGAAACAGAGAAGATTCCTTAACTAACTGAAAGAGAGTTTAGGTTTTAAGCAGTGGTAGCAACTTGAAGACAGAGACTTTCAAATAATTTATTTCTTTTAAAGCAGAATGAAAGCAAGCACGCCATCTTTATTCCATTATTCAAGAAAATCTGGTAGTGATTTTCTTATTAAACGTATGTTTAGCTACTCTTCATCTGATTTATTCCTTGCCTGCCTACCTGCCTACACCCAGACATAAATTGAATGACTCCACAAGCAACCCAATTTCAAATTCAATTCAAGCCTCTCTTTCAATGGGTGTGTATATAATTTGGATCTCTTTATGACTAATGCAAGTAATTTATGAGTTCTGCACAGTCTTCTCTCAGTCTAGAAGTTTTCCCCCACCCCACTTTTAAATATCTTTCTGTAAAAGGGCATATGAGTCACTGAAGTTTATTTTAAAATAGGAGTTTTGCTAAGCAAATAATTAGACATGAGAAGGCATTGAATATTCTGATGCTTTGATCTCCTTAAATTAAACCCAAGATAATGCAATTCCAGAGTTCCTGTAAATTTTAAAGAATGAGAGGTAGAGGGACCATCACACAGATACTCCTCTTTGGACATTATTTTAAACTTTGACTCGTTTTCATTGAAAAATTTCAAGCATAATTAGTATTTTAACTTCAGAACACCTAATAGATAAACCAGATTCAGTGAGTTTCACTTTTTTTTTTTTTGCAGTTTTTGGCCAGGGCTGGGTTTGAACCCGCCACCTTCGGCATATGGGGCCAGCACCCTACTCCTTTGAGCTACAGGCACTGCCCCAAGTTTCACATTTTATATTAGATAAATTTGAAGTAAAACCTACTCAGTTTCTAAACTGTGTCTTTTCATTTTGAGTGTTAGATTTTATAGCAGCAGTATAGGGATATTTCATAACACAAAAGAAACCTCTGCAACACAACTGATTTCAGTTTTACAGATTTCTACTCTATGTTTATTTATATTAACATATCCTTTTACTTTCTAATTCTCAAGAGATGAGAGAGAAATAAAACTCCAAAACTAAATGTTGTTCCCAAAGGCAGCAGGTGTTATGTGAGACTGTGCTGGTGGGACGGGGCCCAGATGGTCCTGACCCTGGCCTTGCTGGGCTCCAGCCCTGTGTCTACCCATTTTTCATTTCCCAGACTCCCCAAATTCCCAGTTTTCATTTACCAGTGATTCCAAAACTAAAAATAATTCCTTCTTTTCCCTTTTGCATAACAACAATAAAAGTTTCTTGAGAGCAGAGACAAAATCTATCCCAAAGCTTAATACATTGCTGGGCATATGGTCTTTTCAGTTACCAAACAATAAGCACAACAAAGCAATGTTTGTCCTTTTGTTGGTTTCAAATCTATCTTCTCTCTCTCTCTCTCTCTCTCTCTTTTTGCAGTTTTGGGCTGGGGCCAGGTTTGAACCTGCAACCTCTGGTATACGGGACCGGCACCCTACTCCTTGAGCCACAGGCACCTCCCCACCTGTTCTCTTTTTCTCTGATTCCCCTGAAATCACAGATTCATAATAAAGAAGAACAAATCACTGTTGGCACATTTAACACTTGTACATTTTATTTAATTAAATCAGCCATTGTACACATTGCAGCTATGTATTGTTAGTGTTGTATTTTTTTTTCCATTAACTAATACATGCCCTCATAGATATATTCAATTAGTGTTATCACCATGGGAACAAGATGCTGATTCATCAACTGAAAATTCACTTCTTCTCACAGTATTCAAGTTTTTTGATAACACAGCAAAAATCAAAATCAAAAAAAGGTGAATAACCAGTATGTTGTTACACAGACATCATCTGCACTGCAAAGAACACAACAGAAATGCTTTTCTTGAGCTCCAGTGAAGGTTTGGACAAGGAGGCCATAGGGTGTCTCAAAAAAGTTCCACTATGGGCCTCTCATTTTGGCTGCCAAAGAATGTTTTATTTCCTATCCAACTGCCAAAAAGTGCTAGCGTTTGAGGCTTAGGAGATTTGGCTTGTGGGAAACCTCCCTCCCAGGACATTTTTTTCTCTTGGCAACTTTACTTTCAATGATGAAGTGCCATTGTTTGTCACATTTGTTTTTGACAGTCGGAGTGATGAGTCATTTTTGCACAACAGGAAAAGACCAGATAATTGGAAAATGTTCAATCCCTGGAGGATAGACCCTTTTTTATTTTTTTTAAATTTCATCTTCATTGAATATACTTTTCTTTAACAAATAACTGATTCAAAATGTATACTGTTTATATGAATATATTTGTGAATATATATATGTTAAAATGCTACACAGCTTCAACCACTAGAGGAATAAGGAATAGGATGTGGAAACCACTCAGATTGTTATAGTCCCTTCTTTGAAACAAACAAACAGAAAAGTGCACGAATGCACTTAAGAGTTTCCAAGGGAGTGTGGATTTCAAATAAATAAACCAAAAATTTTAACCAAAACCAAATTTTCAAGGATTTCTCAATCTTGTCTGCAAGCTGAAAAACAGACCCAGCTGGGAAGTGAAAAGTGTTCACTCGGGGTAAAAAAGAATGAAAACCTTTTATGTGATTAGGAGAGGGGTTTTGACTGTGGTTTTGATTTTTAAATGCCACATGCAGGTAGTAGAGAAAATATAAACCTGGAAAAAAAAAAAAAAGAAAGAAACCACTCCAATGCCGTGAAGGAGTTTACCCTTTGAAGTCATGGGGAAATCTTGTTTCCAATGGATTATCTACAGTGCAGTGGCTGGAAGAAAGTACCACCAGTAAGACAGCGTGGTTTGCTAAAGCAGCAATGAAAACTGGAAAACTACAGTAGTTATAGCTTTTAAAATACCCTGCCAACGTTTCCAAAATCTCAAAGACCTGAAGATGCGAGCAGGCCACGCGATGTAGCTGCTAGCACCTGAATACCTCATCATTTCCTTCTGTTTACCTTCTGCTCCCCTTCTCCCCTCCCTCAGAGTGGCTGCTGGAGAGTCATTAATCATGGCCGGCCAGCACCAGCAATAACTTCTTAGTTAGGGCAGTTCTTTGAGGTTATTAATCCGTCTTTAACTAGGAGCAATGGCTACTCTGGAAGATCTAAGGACGTGATAGGTCTGAAGTGCTTCGTTTGCAGTGAAACCGTATTGTCATTCGATTGTGTTAGCAATATCGTCATTAACCATGGTTCGCAATTTCTAGAGGCCTTTTATTCCATGATGCCCAGTGTAGTTATGATAGGCAGTGGTTTTAATTTTAATCTGTTGTTCATCTGAGCATTTTAGCTATATACATTGTACTTGGACATCCCTTTGAAGGATTCCTCTGTGTCATCACTTGAAGAGGTCTGCAGGTGAACTTCTTCTGATCAATGGATTTTCATGGAGCTTGTGCAGAAGCAGAGAACAACGGAGGTGGCCAGTCCCCAGATTAGCACAGATGCGACAGAGTAGTGGATACAGCATCCAGTCTGAAGGACGCTATCTTTGGTCACAAATTAGCTTAGAGTTAAAGGGGGGTGGGGTGGAACTAAACCAAAATGCAGTATATTTTCTAACAGTGGAAATGTTGGGGTATCCCATTAATTAGGCCGTTTAGGTCCCTCAACTAACGGATCGGGCAGCTGCATGGTGAGTGAATGTGTGGTTTCTGTGTGAGAATTGGGCAGCCCCTCATTTGGCCTCTTGCTTCGAGTCCTCCTTGCAGAAGTGCCGAAGGAGCTGCTGGAGATCGCGCTGGAGGTCGTCCTGGGCTAGTGCTTCTGGCACATCCTCCAGGTGCTCCAAGTCAATGCGTTTTCCATGCTGGTCCTTCACCACAGCCCTCTTCTGCGTACTGGCTTTACTCATGGTTGTCCTGGAGGAAAGCAGACAAGAGAGAATTATCCTCTCTTTCCATTGCTAACAGGAAGCTGCTAGGTCTGAGGGTAACCATCAGTAGACGACTTATTGTCATACTTCTGGACATTTCTATACTAAATTGTTAACAACTGTGGACATCTTTTCACGTCTTTCTTTTAAACATGGCTCCCCTATCTGAAATGTTTGAGGGTATTGCTTAAATGTTCTAAGATTCCAATTTCCTTAGTTGTTATAATGATAGCTAAGAGAGTTTTCCCATGAGACATAGGTCTTTAAAAACTGACATATTATTCTATCAATATATAGGAAGAGGACGACCAACAGGAGATGGTCTGCCCAGGCCTCTGAAGCTTCACATGGTGATGGTATGGAGGGAGACGAAAAGACAACTCTTGAGAACCCTTCCTCTGAATTCCAAAGTCCCATGCAGAACACTATTTAGGTATCCCACTGCCGTCTAACAGTCTGGGGCTTATCGGTCTTTCTCATCAGACTAGTGATTATTTAAGAAATGGAGCTATACACACTTGCATATGAAAAATGTAACACTACTATAGCCTAGGATGAAGGAGGGAAGGGGAAGGAGAGGGAAGGGAGCAGGGTGGGTCGATGGAGGGTGAGTAGGGGGACCTCACCTATGGAGCACATTGCAAGTATAAGTTGGATCTATCAGGTGTAGAACACAAATGTCTTAATGTTGTAATTGGGTAAATGAGGTGAAGGCTATGTTGATTAGTAGGATGTAAACACTCTAATTTGTACAAATAATCAACACATTGAATCCCATAATGGCATAAATGTATTCATGATCCATGTAGAAATGACTTAATTAAAAAAAAAAAAAGAAATGGAGCTATAACTTACTATTCTATTAAATTTTGTACTAATATCTTCTTGCATCCCTACTGGAAAATGACTGTATGTTATAATTTGTTCACTCTCCATTCACTACCTACTTGTAAATATAATTCTTCATCCCATAAATTATCTGAAGAATATGTTTCATGTGCAGATGCTATCATTATAACAACTAAGGAAATTGGAATCTTAGAACATTTAAGCAATACCCTCAAACAAGAAATATCAGAGTTAGCACGGGGTGGGGCAAAGAGTGGAAGACTCTGGCGCCTGCACCTGTAACCTCTCTGCCACACATTTTCACTTACAGCCCCCGGAGGAAACGATCAGTTTTTCTACTGTCAGCCAGCATTTGCCTTACGAATTCCTAGTGTTGGAAACTGGAAGGTTTGTCCACCTTCCAATACCTCTAGGCATTTGCTAAGATCTTGACTTTTTTAAAAAATGACTGACATCAGCCAGACAACATACTTTCCACTTTCTTTTGGATACCCTTGTTTCCTTCTTTCTCCCTCTCTCATGTTCTCTTCCTCTCCCCTTTTCTTGGATACTACATTAATTATTTTATATCTGAAAGCTAACTTAAATTTGCTTTTCCTGATGAAAAGGTCAGATTTAGTTTCATTCACTGAAATCAGATGTTTTTCTAATTATTTATCATCTATTTTTTTTCTCGCAAAAAGGCAATTTCTGTCTCTTTCTGCCAAGTGCTGGTAGAAGCCCTTACGGCACTGGTGTCCCAGGATCAGCCTGCATCCTAGGACATTTCCTGGCACACTGTGCAGGCATGTCTACATGAAGATGTTTATGAACATGCATGTATATATGATCAAATGTCTTCAATGATGTATAAAGGGTTGGGTGTCACAAACTGAGTTTGTAACTAACTAGCTGTGGGAACTTGATTAAGTTGTCTGTATTCCTGGCTTCAAATTCATCAACTGTAATTGAGAACTTCAGATTAATTGGTCTCTAAATTTATTCCAGTTTGAAGATCCCATGATGCTGGGACATGCATAGCTTATGTGGTTTCATCTGAATAATTGGATAAAAGACTTAAAAGCTCTGAGTATAAAAGGCATTTCATCCTTAATTCATGTAGGGTTTTTAAAGTTCTAAGAGAGCAATTACACTCTTTTAAATTCCTAGCTGCTGCTGTTTTTCACATTTGACTGGAGGGTGGAATTGTGACGGAACCTTTAATTTTGCTGTTGTAATTATTATGTTCTAAAGGCTTAAAATAGCTCTGTGGAGTACTATAAATGACAATCTTTCTCTCCTTTTCAATGAAGTGAAAGTACATTAGTAAGTTGAATTTCCATTGTGTCTTTTCACTGAGAAGCTGAGAACATTTTCTTAATCTCGATACTTAAGAGGACCAGCGAGAAGTGAGAAGGTCACACATCAAATCCATGATGGAGGCAAAAGCCGGACCAGGGCTGCTCATCGCCAGCCATTTTTTAGATGCATAAAAATGTGCTGCTTGCTGCTTTCACCACACTTTCTTAATCTGTTAAAGCCCCTGGTTCCAGCATTGCTATGCACACTCAGTTCATGGGCATCAAGTTCATGCTCATGTTATTTGCCACTCACATGCAGGATCATAAAAGAGCTTGTTAAGAAAAAAAAAAAAAGGCTTGTACCCTTCAAAGTAATGATTTACTAAGACTGAGCTGAATGCAGCTGGTCACAAAGTTAATTTGTGATCAGTTGATCAGACAGCTCTTCTTCTGCTCTCCAAATCTATCAGCACAATGGAATATCCCAGCTGGTTGGCTTCCGCAGATAAACGACCTGCTAAAACCCAGGGAGTCGGATTGTGTTAGCACAAATCTCATTCTCACTATGCCTTACAATTGCTTTTAAAGCATCAAAAGGATATTTCAGGTATGACATTCGGAGAGCTCACCACTTGACCAAAGCCTTGTAACACAGAAGAGTCAGCAATTCCAAAGGAGGGAGGGGCTGTAGGGTACATGTGGGGGCTCTGATTTTGTTTTCTTAAAATTAGAAAAATTTTTAGGATGTTAGTTGACAAAGCATCACCCCGTGCTAACCCAAACCTTTTAATTATTGATCCATCCTCTTTCAGGATTTCATTCTCTACTAAACTGGGGAAGTGAACTTTCATGTGGCTACCTGTGTAACTCAAAGCCTGAAGTAAAAAAAAAGAAAAGAAGAAAAAACCTCATCATAAACCATGCACTTTAAAAGAATGTATTGCTTATTTAATTCATAGTCAGTGTGAAAATATGTGCTCAAAATAAAAATTACTCCTGCATGCAGACCAAAGTTTTGAGTTTTTAATTTAATACGTGCCTTTGAGTTTTCCCATTTACGAGGGAGATTTGTTGTACCATTTTACAAAAGCTGCTAACTTCTGTAATATCCATACAGACTGACTTCCCATTTCCTCTTTGCCTCACTCCGGTCCTTTTTATAGTGGAAACTCTAACAGGCAATACAGAGTGTCCCAAAAGTCACCCTTCACATCGCCACAGAGTTCCAATCTTTCTCTTTTGTCAATGAAATGAAAGTACATTAGTAAGTTGAATTTCAAGTAAGTTAATTCCCTTTAGCTACAGTTTCCCATTTCTCTGAGAGAAAATGGGAAACTGTAGCTAAATGGACCTTTATTTATAAAATATTCATTACAAAATTGTATAAAATATTTATAAAATATTCTCACCACCTCTTTTTAAAAGATGAATTACCAGTTGTCAAAATGTAAAAACTAAAAGTCTTTAAATAAGGTATGCTTTTAATATCCCAATGCAGTCATATATAATCTCTCCATATATTGAGAGCACAGTAGTGGACAAACAGATAGCATTTAACTTCAAAATATTTCAATCATAAAAATATTTTGTAGACATTTGTATATGACCACAATCCTTTCATCAAAACCTTGTGGCTAGATGTGTTTCAAAATTTAGATTTTTTTTCCTTTTGGATTTTAGAAAGTTAATATAATGCATATACAATCAATCGTGCATGAGAAAACAATGTTTCGGTCAATAGTGAATTGCATATGTGGCAGTGGTCCCATAAGATTTTAACGGAGCTGAAAAATTGCTATAATTTAGGGATGTCCCAGCTGTTCCAACTTCACAGTACAACATACGACTCACATGTCTGTTGTGCTGCTGGTGTAAACAAGCCTACTGTGTGGCCACTCATGGAACAGTGTGGCACATACGGTTATATACAGTACGTGATATTTGAAAATGGTAATAAATGACTCTGTGACTGGTTTTGTGCATTTAACTACACTACTTATAATTATTTTAGGGCATATTCCTTCTACTTAGAAAAAAATCTGTAGCACAGCCTCAGGCAGGCACCTCAGGAGGGGTCCCAGAAGAAGGCATTGCTATCCTAGGAGGTGACAGCTCCATGTGTGTGACTGCCACTGAGGTCCTTCCAGTGGGACAAGATGTGGAAGTGCAAGGCAGTGATATTGATGATCCTGATCCTGTGTAGGCCTAAGCTAATGTGTGTGTAACAGAAAACCTCAAAAAGTTAAAAAAAAAAAAATTGAAAAATAAATCCTATAGGCAGGGTATGGTGGCTCACACCTATAATCCTAGCACTTTGGGAGACCAAGGCAGGAGAATCATTCAAGGTCAGAAGTTCAAGAGCAGCCTGAGCAAGAGCAAGATCTAGAAAAGAAAAAAACAAAAGTGGCCAGGCACGGTGGTATACACCTGTAGTCCCAGCTACTCAGGGGGCTGAGGCAGGAGGATTGACTGAATGCAGGGGTGCAAAGCTGCAGTGAACTATTTTTTTTTCTTCTTTTTTGAGATAGAGTCTCACTTGGTTGCCCTTGGTAAAGTGCAGTAGTCTCACACTCATAGCAACCTCAAACTCTTGGGCTCAAGTTATCCTCTTATCTCAGCCTCAGGAGTAGCTGGGACTACAGACACCTGCCACAACACCCGGCTATTTTTTAGAGATGGGGTTGCTCAGGCTGGTCTCGAACTCCTGGGCTCAAGCAATCCACCTGCATCGGCCTCTCAGCTGCTGGGAGGCCATCACACCTGGCCCTGCAGTGAGCTATGATGATGCCAGTGAACTCTAGGCAACAGAGCAAGACTCTGTCTCCAAAAACAAAAAAATGAAAAAAAGAGATCTTATAGAATGACGATATAAAGAAAAAATATTTTTGTGCACTTGTATAATGTTTGTGTTTTAAGCTAAGGGTATTGCAAAAGATTCAAAAAGTTAAAAGAAATTGACAAGTTTATAAAATCAATTATGGTAAGCTAAGAATAATTTATTATTAAAGAAAGAAAACGACTTTTTGGCAAATTCAGTATTGTTCTAAGCATGCAATGTTGTAGTCCACAGTGGTGTACAACAACGTGCGAAGCTCCGCATTTACCCCTCACTTACTGACTCATCCAGAGCAACTTGCAGTCCAGCAGGCTGGAAGGTCAGTGCCCTGTGTGAGCGCCCTGTACAGGTGTACTGTCTTTGTACTGTACCTTTTCTGTGTTTAAATACACAAATGCTTACTACTATGTTGCAACTGCCTACAGTATTCATACAGTAGTATGCCAACGAGTTTGTACCATAGAAGCCTTAGGCTACACCACATAGCTTAGGTGTGTAGGAGGCTATACCTCCTAAGTTTGTGCAAGTGCCTTGTGTGATGATCCCACAATGACCAAATCACCTAAAGATGCATTTTTCAGCCCATATCCCCTCTGTCAAGCAACACGTGATTGTACTGTATGTTCCTAACACCCCAGAGGAGGCAAACAAGGCATCCTATAATCAACCCATTTTATACTGATAGTAAAACATACAAACTTTGCTCTAAGTAGCAAAGACAAAAAAACATCTTTATGTCATAATAGTTTTATGATAGTTTATTCCAAGTTTTACTGCCAAATTAGCTTACAAAATTTGGTTTTCAGAATTTTTAAATTTTTTTTTTTTTTTTTTTTGAGATGGAGCCTCAAGCTGTCCCCCTGGGCAGAGTGCCATGGCATCACGCTCACAGCAACCTCCAACTCCTGGGCTCAAGAGAGTCTCCTGCAGCAGCCTCCCAAGTAGCTGGGACTACAGGCGCCCACCACAACGCCTGGCCATTTTTTGGTTGCAGCCATCATTGTTGTTTGGCGGGCCCGGGCTGGGGATTCGAACCCGCTACCTTAGGTGTATGTGGCTGGCGCCTTAGCCACTTGAGCCACAGGCGCCGAGCTGAAATTTTAGATTTTAGTAAGGGTTTGTGGATCTGTCACTGTGGCCCTATTTCATAATGGTTGGAAATCAGAACTTAAATAATTATAACTGCTTTATTTAAATTTATGCATATGGAACATATGTGAATTTTCTTTAATGCCATATTAAAGAATACCATATTTGAGAATACTAGCCAGTAAAAATAATTTGCAAAATATCAACTTTTTCCCCTTATTAGTTGGGAGTGTGAGGTGCTTCTGTAACTTTTAAACAAGATGTATAAATCATGTCCCAAATCTAGAGATTTTGAGTATGACTCAACAGAAGCAAATCCTGGTCATCTGGATCTTTAAGAGCTCTTACGTGACTCCAAGGAACATCATAGTTTGAGGGAACATTACAGAACAAGGCACTCAATCAGAAATTCTGCTCCCTTGAATTATTCTGCACCCTTCCATAAATTGATGCATGGAATGACGTGATGACAATTTTTGTTTCAAATGGAAAGCAAACATAAAGACACACACAGAAAGACAAAATGATGATGCGTCTATACCTCTTCAAAGTCATCTTTGGCTGAAGGCAGATCAGTGGCTAAACTAGAATCCCCCAGATGTTTCTCCATCCTTTCTCCATGTACCACAGTTGTTTTAACAACTTTGCTGACTCTACGGCCTTCCACAGGTTCAGCCTGAAATTGTGAGGTACTGGACAGTATGCTGGGCTCAGACAGAGTCACCTAATGGATGAAGGACAAATGATAGACAACGTCTGATGGCCAAAGTGGCACTGTAATGAATTTTTTCCATGTTAAGAAACAAACAAACAAAAAAACTATAATGTCATATACTGGCTTTCTAGAGAATACTATTTGGAATGAGAAAAAAAACAAACTGCAAAGAAATTGGTACTATTTCCAAAATGACTGTATCTCCACTAGCTTGTCAAGTTTCATGGAGAAGAAGCCGACTGCTCAAGGTAAGGCAGACTCAGTGACCTACAGACAAACTCTCTATTTAAATAGTTTCTCTGGTATTAGGACAAAAAACTTAGCCCCTAAAAGAGGAACTGTAAAAGCTATGAGAAACTGAACAGTGGATTTCTAGAGAACTTCATGTGTATTACATGAAATTTTGAGGAAATGAATGACTATAAAATGGTCAGAATTTCACAAATTATTTTCCAAGATTGGAAATATGTCCCTGAATGAGGGAAGTAAAACAGAAAGAAACAAATCAAGGAGTTTCATGATCCTGATTTTAATGGCTCTGAAATGCAGAAGTCTGAACATGAAATATTTATCTAAGATGGGCTTTAGATGGCTGATGTGCGGACCAAGCACAAGCACCATGATATACCCGTATATGCATGGTCTCTTCATAACATATTGCTTGCCCAGCACAGAAGATTTTATCCTGTTAAAATTTGGATTTGGATTCCTGCTATGATCAACCAGGAATTAAATAAAAAATAGAAATAGAAAGAACCAAGGAAATACAATGAGTATAAGGGCCATAACTCTCTCTGACAATTATTTTAAAATCACACAAAATCAAGAAGGGAAAAAAAAATGAGCAACTCAGAGCAGACAGCCACATAAAAGGAAGTGGTGGGGCCAACACAAATAAACAACCTCATCCATCTGGTTGGAGCTCTACTTTGCTCTTCTCCATCAGGTACATTTTGGAGAATTGGGTGGTCTCACCTCTGACTGTGCGACATCACTCTTCAATACTACGCGCTTTACGACTTTGGAATAGCCATCTCCTTCCTCGATGGTGACCGGTGCCTGCGGCATTCCCTGCATCGTAATCTCTTCTCTCTCTGTGCCATCAGAGGACACGTACCGCCTAATGATTTTCCTGGTAATCTGAAATACATTTAAAGTCTGTACCTTATTTTTTAGTTACAGCACCACAATATCGATACATTCTAAGCAGAAGGTTGTAAATCAACCATGTTAGGGTACAACAGACAATACCTTCTTCACCACGGTGTGCCCGTGCTCGTCAACGTATTCCTCTTCCGTGACTGTCTCCGGGGGTAAGTCAGGCATCTCATCTCCCTGCACAGTTGGGAGAAAAACGTCACATAGCGTTTGGCACCATTCTGAGGAAGTATTCCCACAGGCTTACTGCGTGAGGAGTGTTAGGAAATCAAAGGTGATGCTGAAGAGCATTGCTGAGATACAAAATCCTGTCAAGTAGTTTGTTTAAAAGGAAAAGAAAAAAACAGGTGGGTAATAACATGCTTAGGAGAATTTGACCAAAGTTAGGTAAAATGTAAACAAACAAAACCAGATAAGCAGGAGGTGAGGTAGGTGGAATTAAAGAAGCCAAATCTTGCTCTTGCTTGGTGGCACTCTCTTGGAGGGAAGCTGCAAACGTCATGACCACTGCATTTCTTTACCAACAGAACTTAGGAGAGTTAGGGAGTCTGCTTTTGAATGGCCATGCACTACCTATAAGGAGCATGCCCAGGCTTCACTGATCCAGGGTGATCACGCTCTGAGGATATGGGACACAACCGTCCCTGACGTGCAGTAATTGAAGAGCTGGTACCTGAATAATCACTCGCCGGCGGACAACCCGGGTAGTTACCATCGCCTCCTCATCTGAGCTGGCCGCCAGCTCCCCTAATTCCTCTGTTAGCTCCTGGTGGAAGCATGGAAGCATTGTTTTGTTTAACGTGCTAAGGAATGACTTGGCCCCTGGTTTCTGCTTTATACTGTATTCTGAAAGCTTAATTCAGGGAGGTTTTGGTGGACGAGTCAGCAGGAGTAAAAATAAATGTGTGCTAGTCTCAAAAGTTCACCAAAACTATACTTATTTTGTTCAATGAATGAAAAAAAATATTCTGGAATTCTGAGAGCTATTGGGGAGCCAACCATCTGTCAAAGGCTGTTCAAAGAAATGAGCAGCTTGCTCACGTGACTTCTTGTACTGAAACTTCTAAAGAAGAATAACAGAATGTAAGCACAAAACCTAAGCCCCACAATGAACACTTGTGAACCACTGACACTGGCGCTTAGGCTCAGCATTGTTAACCCAAAGACATAAAAATATCTCCTGTTTCTACTAGAACTTTCTGCAGAAAGTCCAAATTTCCTGTAACTATTGCTTAGCAAGTAGTACATCTTCCTGACATCAAAAGAGATGGTCTGTGAATAATATTAGACTCAGGTTGTAGAGAAGTTAAGATGTAGAGGCCAATCGGATTTTATGAGCCTGGGCCAAAGCCAAAGATGAGGCAAAAAACATAATTTTACATTACAGCATATGTCTTGGGAGTCACGTATCAAATCACTCTTTCCTAATAAAATGTTATTTTTAAATAAGAGAAAACTTCACAAAAATTGCTTAACATATTTTGAAATACCCAAACGATAGTTCTACATTTGTCTCTGCTAAAGGAAGACATGTACACTCTTAATCAAATTATACCTTAAATAGGATCAGAAATATGGTCATCAAGAAAAGTGATTGAAATTGAATGCCTAAAATACGGCTATGAGAAGGTCAGGGTCCACCTAAGAAGCTTAAGAGAAATAATTGGATATTCATCAAGCATAAGTGAACAGGCCTGGATAAAGTAAGTGAAATGCAGAATGACTTATCAAAGTTTATTTATACAGAATAAACATGTGAATTGTCTAGATAATTGTTTCAAGTCTGACATCACTAAGCCTATAGACTCGTAGGTTAAATTTGGTAACTTTTAAGCCCAGAGAACATGTATGAAAGAAACATTTTTATTAGTACTTAAGCCCAAACGTTGAGAGATGAAGTGATTCTGTGCAACAGTAAACTTGGAATAAACATCTATTCATGGGATGAATTATTTCAGACAACTGTCAAAATCACCACATAGTTCACATTTGCCTGGATCTTTTCTACTTTTAGCTATTGATTTTAGATAAATGCTGGTAGCAGATGTCACCATCAAGGTAACAAAACAAATTTATGTCTCAAGCCTAAAGGTATGTTGCATCACTTGACTTTCCCCACAGATTTCAATGTTTTCACACAACTCACCTTTTACTACTAAGCCTTATATGAATGGTCTAAAGTGCTTTGAAATATGAAGTGTTTTTTTATTCTATTACTTTCTAAACAGAAAAAATATCTAAATTAAGTTTCATTCAATTAACGGCTCACACTTTTTTGTGTATAAAAGCCATCTACGGAGTTATTTAAAATGAAGATTCCTGCTCCCTCTCTGCTCCCAATGATTGATTCTGATTCAGGAGTTCTGAGTAGGGATCAAGCTCCACCATTAAGTCTGAGGAATGTGAACTTTATAAATCTCACTTTGAGGACAAACATTTAAATGAATTTCTTAACAGATTCCTCACTCCTCTTCACAACTTTAGAACTCAGTAAAAAAGGAAATGCCACGATGCAATTATGTGCTGCTGTCAGACCCTCCGACATTTAGAAATGGCAGTAAGTTCAAGCACGATATTCTTTTTCTGAGTCATACCTAAAATCTAATGAACTCTAATTTGGAAATTATCCTTCCTCTAATGAGAAAGATTTAGAGATCTAAACCCCAGCCAATATCCACAGTTCGTGCACTTATCACCTGTAAGCACAGAGATCCACCAGAACTGCGGGCACCAGCATATCCCTTGGCTGGTAGACCTGGGACTCTGAGACTCTGAGACCCTGTTGAACTCTATCACTAGCCCTGGGAAAAGTGCCCTGGCATCCTACCTCACACCAACCTCAGATTCCTGGGCTCAAGAGATCTTCTTGACTCAGCCTCCCATGTAGCTGGGACTATAGGCACCTACCACAACGCCCGGCCATTTTTTAGAGATAGGGTCTCACTCTTGCTCAAGTTGTCTCGAACTCATGAGCTCAGGCGATCCACCTGCCTCCACCTCCCAGAGTCCTGGGATTACAGACATGAGCCACTGTATTAGGCTCATCAGTAATTTTTACACCTGAGTTTAATCATTTGAAAAAGCTAAGTCACATATACTGTTTTGCCACACTTTTCATTTTTCTTAGCAAAAGTGTTTCCAATGATAAAATTATGGCTGATGGTCAACTAGGTAGTCTGGGTGCTGTGTACCATTTCTTCTGGATTCACTGGCTCTTGATTTTAAAAGGGATTGGGGGTTTCCATAGTGCAGGTTAAATTATTTGGTAAATCTTTTGTTGTGACATGAAAAAAATAAGCCATCTGAGAAATGGAAACTGAGGGAAGGTTTGTAGCTTTGTTACAGATAAGCAGGGAAATAGACAGGAAAGAAAGTCTTACTTTTTCAAAAGCTGTATCTTCGTGGAGTCTTTCAAAGGCCTGCGGCTGGTCATCAGTAGACTCCACTATCACAAGGCTAGTTTTCTGTGGCGAGCTCTCCTGTCTGTGCTCTGGGGGCTCTTCAGGCTCTTGTACAATGGGAGAGCCTCCCTGCTCACCAGACGTCGGTGTCTGGAGGTGCGGCCTCTGCTCCTCAGGAGGGCTACTGACTTCCTCAGGTGGCTTGCTGGGAGAGCCAGGTACTGCCGTGGCCTTTGGGGTCTCTGAAACTTCCGTTCCTGGGGATGTCACACTGGAATGAAAAGGCCAAATGATAATTTGGGGACATTTATATTTCTCCTCTTACTCTAGCAAAGGAATTGGGAGGGAAGATGGAGTTCATCTTCATTGTCCATGATAGTCAAAATGGTTTTTGTAAATTTGGCCAATAAAGGAAATTTGAAGGAAAATAATACTGTAACACATACTACCAAGTGGTAGCTCACCGATCTAGCAGTGACAGACAGCGATGTATTCAAAAGATAAAAATTATCCTAATGTGTATCTTTCACAACCACCTAACCTCTACAGATGATGTACACCTGTGGTCTCCAACCCCAGGCCATGAATCAGTCTGAGACCCTGTTGGACTCTATCACTAGCCCTGGGAAAAGTGCCCTGGCATTTCATTCAATCAGCTGTTAAGAAAGGGGACAGCAGGGAGTGAGTAGCGGGCTAGAGAGCAAATGCTCATCTGTATCTACAGTTGCTCCGCATTGCTCCCATCACCGCCTGAGCTCCACCTCCTGCCGGATCAGCAGGGGCATCAGATTCTCACAGGCGCTCGACCCCTGTGCGAACTGTGCATGCCAGGGATCTAGGCTGCGCTCTCCTTATGAGAACCTAACATCTCATGATCTGAGGTGGAGCTGAGCAGTGGGGCTAGTGGTTGGGATCGGCTGCAAATACAGATGATCATTAGCAAAGAGCTTTGACCACACAGACACGTAATAGTCAATTGCTTGCAGATGCCTAACCATAACTGTATCATAACCACCCCACAATGCCCTCTTGGTCTGTGGAAAAACTGTCTTCCATAAAAGCAGTCCCTGGTGCCAAAAAGGTTGGGGACTGCTGGTATACATTGTAATTTCATCTTTTTTTGATAACTTAATAGTGAAGACTTGAATTTTATACATGGTGGCCATAAAGTTGTGGACACATGTAACAAACATTTATAGATAACTAGGTTTTTGAAGCAAGAATCAAAATTAAATAAGTCAGAATTAAGCAAATCTCCATGTTAATGCAGTTGTTATAACTATATATGTAGGAAAATTCTCACTGTACTTCTGAAAAACTGGGGTTTTTTGTTTGTTTGTTTGTTTGTTTGGATTTTTTTCTTTTTGAGACAGAGTCTCACTCTGTCACCTTAGGTAGAGTGCTGTGGTGTCAAACCTCACAGCAACCTCAAATTCTTGGGCTTGAGGAATCCTCTTGCCTCAGCTTCCAGTGGCTGGGACTACAGGTGCCCACCATATTACCCACCTAATTTTTCTATTTTTAGGGGAGAGGGAGTCTCACTCTCACTCAGGCTGATGTCAAACTCCTGAGCTCAGGTAACGCATCTGCGCCAACCTCCCAGAGTGCTGGGATTACAGGTGTGAGCCACAGTGCTGGGCCTGAAAACTATTTTACTTGTTAGAGGGATCAGTTGACTCTGAATTTTTTTCTATTGATAAAGTTTGGAGTTACTCCAAAGCAACCTTTAATAATCTTAATTACTAAGTTAAAAAATTCTTCATCTTTTCCTGTTTTTTTCCTTTTTTTTGTTTTTTTTTTGGGGGGGGGCTGGAATTTAGTGCAATTTCCTGTCACTTCATAGGTATTAAACACCCAGAGTGTCTCTCTGTTATCCCCGCTTTGTCCTTCTTTCTCTAACCTCTTCTCACCCTTGAATCCTACAGGTAGATGGTGGGAGGTGCCTCAGTGAAGAAGAGGTTGTTTCATTCCCCATTTCACCGTTTTCTCACTTCTGTGACCCCCAAACAAAACTCACGCAATGACACAGAGAAGGCAGCCACAGTGCTTTGTTTATCTTCGACACGCTATTCTCAGATTTCAGGGTCGAGGTTAGGGACATTTGCCAGTCTCATGATCTGCTTTCTTTCTGGACAACCCGTGTTAGTTAAACAACTCTTTCTCCTTTGCTTCTATAAAGGTCAGCACTCAATGTTGAGCCCAGCTGTGTTCCTCCCCTCTCTCCAGCCAGACGCTCTCCAGGAGAGTTGCCTTCCATCCTGCCCCACTCCATCCCATCTCATTTTAGTGGTCTTTCATTCTGTGGGAATAATTTATATTGCGTTTGTATTTTCCCAGTTATCCACCTTATAGCTTTGCTGAAATATGCCATGCCTACTGAAACCATTCATGAACCAAACCAGCCATGGCACGATGGGTGTGGTATTGGAAGCAGGACAGAGGAAATGATGTGTAGCAATCCTACAAGGAAAAGCTATTTCGCCTCCATGAAATTTTACAGTTTAAGCAGTACTTCCACGGGCATCTCTCTGACCTTTGACCCTGTGTGACGAGTAGAACACATGGTATTACCATAACTTATAGAGGTAGAAGTGAGGGTTCAAAACACTTAGCACTTGTTCAAAGTGACAGGACTGGGTGTTGGTTCAAGCATGTCTGTGTCACAAAGCATGGTCACCCTATCTCTTAAATGTCACACTTTCCTTCCCTGTAGCTCTGGCTTTCATTGGGGGTGTGATTTTTAAATTATTTACAAGCTAGCTATGCTTGTATATGCCTGCATCCTGGCTATATTCTTTAGAATTACATCTGACAGGCTTCCTTTTGAAACTCACAAGTATTCCTTCTGATACTCAAGAGATGACTCTTCAGCCAGGTCTTGCATTTTCCCTGAGAAATTCTGTTGCTCTTGTTCCTTCTGAGCTTGGGAAAAGAGGGCTGTGGCTGAGCTGTCCCCCTCGGTTTTGGGGATGGAATCCTGAAACGTGGAATAACCCACAGAAATATCTTCCTCTGAGACGATGGGAGGGTGATCAGCAGAGTCGCTTTCTTTAGAGACAGTTTGTTCCTCTCTCTGCTTGTGCTGTGCTGCACAGAGCTCCTCTTGAAGGACTGAGAACCCTGGAGAACAATTTAAAGGAAGTATTTAATTGAAGCTTTTCTATGTTACATGGATATTCATCAAGTAACTCCTATGAGCCATGTCCTGAGATAAGCCCATGGGCTGCAAAGATGAACAAGGCCCTGTGTCTGCCTTCAAGTAGCTGATCCTGGGAGGGCTCAGGCAAGGAGGAGCCCATCCAAGCACAGCATGATGGGGCCGCAGGTGCCAGTCAATGAATATGGGAGCCCTAACTCAGGGTCAAGGGATTCGGAAAAAAAAGGCAGTGTGATATCTTTAGACCTAGTAGTAAGTAGGAGTCAGCTGTGATAGTCAAGGCCCAGAATCTTAGGGTGAGAGTTAATAGTGATGACAATGAATAATAGCTAATACATGCTGAGCATTCACTCTGTGTCAAGTACGGCTCTCAGTCCTCTGCAAGTGTTAACTTGTTTAATCCTCACTGGAGTACTCTGAGGCCAGTGCTCTTTTCATGTAGAGTCTCCTATGTCAGGTTGAGGAATTTTATCATATCCAGGGCAATGAGAATTTGTAGAAAGATATTTAGCAGAGGGGTGATTGGCATTCACTTATCATTCAGTCATTCAACAGATATATACTAAACATCAACTACGCAGTAGGTACTGTTTAGCTGCTGGATATCCATCAGTGAACAAGACAGGAAAAGCTTTTGCCCTCCCTGAACTTGAATTTCTGTGTGTGTGTGTGTGTGTGTGTGTGCATATGTGAAAAGTATTAGGGGCAATGTAAACCAGACTATAGAATAAACAGTGCTACTTTTTACAAAGACTTGCCAGGAATGGGTCCCCCATGTCGTGATATTTAAGCAGTGACCTGAATAAAGTGAGAGAAAAAGGTATCTGATGATCTGAGGGAGGAAGACTTCAGAGTGGAAGGAGTAGAAGGTACAAGGGCCCTGAGGCAGAAGAATTCTGGGGGTGCTCCAGGAAGAGCAGGAGGCCAGGTGTCTGGGACTAATGAGAGAGGAAGGTGGGGACAAGCTTTGAGGGTGTTGTTTTTAAAACTAATACACATCAGTATTTAAATCTATAAGAAGTAAGAAGCCATAGAGAAAGAGACTGAGGCAGAATAGGCAGAAAAGTGGGGGCGGGGGGGAAGAAGCAGGGATGTCAAGGAAAGTAAAGAAGATGTTTTAAGAAGGGGCTAATTATTTGTGCCAATATTACTAAGGAGTCAATTAAATAGAAGATTGAGAATTACCCATTGGCTTTGACAATGAGGAAACAACTGGTGAATCTTACAAGACTGACCAGAGTGAATTACAGAGACAGTCCTAGAGAAAATGGGAAGAGAGGAAATAAAGAAAACTCTAAGTATTCTTTATAAGAGGTTTCCTGTAAAATGGATAGAAAAACAGAGCAGTAATTCAGGAGGCACACAGGGGGAAGGAAGTTATTTGCTTTGTTTTATTCTTAAAGATGAAACTTATTAAAGCATCTCTTAACGCTGTTAGGTGCGGTCCAGTTGTTGGAAGCCAGGCTGAATATTTTCAGCAGTGAAGTTCTAGCTTGGGTAAAAGGGGAACAAACCTAGTACAAAAGAAGAGGGGGTGGCTTTAGCAAATCAGGGACATTTCATCCATTTCAGTCGGAGGGAATGTAGAGTCTGTGCATGCATCAAAATACACTCAAGTTAGTAGATCTTTATGGTGAAAAAATCCACACCTTTACTTTTGATTATTCCTAATTTTTTTTCTAAGAAATATGAAGCTTTGTCATCAGCTGGAAATAAATCATGTGGGGAGATGATGCTGGAAATTTGAAGGAAGCAGAGAGCTTGTAACATAGAGATGAGAAAGAGAGTGATTAAGCTGCAAATGATGACAAGAGATTAGAGAAACTTCAACACTACAGAGATGGGTGGTGGTCCCGGTGGGTGTGAATTGTTGGTGGAGAAGTAAAAGAGAAGTAAGCACAGTGCCTCAGGTTAGGACTGGTAACGGTACAGTACTGCTTGCAAGGATAGAAATGGGTGGTGAAAGTAAAGAACACAAGCACAAGAATTCCCATCACGAAAGTGAGGAAAGGAAATTAGATGCAGAATTGCCCACACTGATGGAGAAACAGCAAAGACTGAGCAGTGGGGTTCGGTAGGCACCAATCAAGTGGGCAGGGAAGTCTCAGGGGAGCAAGGAAAAGGAACAGTCACCAAAGGCCACGGTCTCCCTTTTAAAAACAGATAGTAAGTCTAGTATCTGAAGTAACCACATATTCACTCTTACACCCACCCCACCCCCACACACAGTTTCTCACACACCTCTCTCTCATACTCTGTAACAGGCTCTGACATATGCACGTCTCCCTCATACACACACAACCTCCTCCATATAGACTCTGTTGTGTATCTCCTCTCAGTCTCTCTGTAGCATGTGTGCACACACCTGTGCATGTGCACTCTCTCTCTCACACACATACACATACACGCACACACACACGGTTTGACCTTCACTATGATCCAGTGTGATGGTCTGTTCAATTTCTGCATAGCTATGACTGATGCGCTCCTGGAGAGGTTCTATGTTGGTCTCCATGAGATGAACAATATCCATTCGGTTGATCTTGGTGAGACATTCAATGAGGTTGGTATCTGAAATATTAGAGAAGCAGCATTTATTACATCTGAAAGGGTTTTTTTTTTTTTAAAGTCATTTAGTTTCCTTACTAAATTCTTGATATTTGTACAGGAAAACAACCAAAACCTAATTAAAGGTCTTTGTAAAAATAAGCAAACAAGTAAAGGAAGATATGCACATAAAAGGTAGCATATTGTGGATGCAAGCCAGGCCACATAACACAGAGAATACTCCATCACATCTAAATTTCAGATTAGAAAAAAACAAATTTTACTTGGGAGACTGAGATAAGTAGATTGCCTAAGATAACAGGTTCAAGATGGAATGAGACCCCCATCCCTAAAATATAGCCAGGCGTTGTGGCAAGCACCTGTAGTCCCACCTACTTGGGAGGCTGAGGCAAGAGAATCACTTGAGCCCAAGAGTTTGAGGTTGCCGTGAGCTGTGACACCACAGCACTCTACCAAGGGCAGCAAAGTGAGACTCTGACTCAAGAAAATAAATAAAGAAATACAATTTTTTTAGTACAAGTATGTTCCAAATATCTCATAGACATACTATGCAAGAAAATAAAAATGTGTTTGTTGACTATCTGAAACTTAAATTTAACTGGGAGCCCTTCTTTTTTATTTGCTAAATCTAACCATACTACTTAGACGACTATAAAGGAGTAATAAATGTAGACCGCATATGGAGAGAGGCTCCTAGGTAGATTTTCGAGTACACATTATAGGAAGTGACAAATTTAGACCTGCTAAATTTGGGAAGGGAAGAGGAGAAGGTAGGGGTTGTACCTTTCCCTATTTTACTTGATATGGTCAGAATATATTAAATAAAATATCTAGTTGACATTTTTTCCCCAACTAGGTATTTTATTTTATTTTCCACCTAGGATTTTTAGAAGCGAAGGAAGCAGCAGCTGAAGAGAATGCCCTCTCAATTAAATGATGTTAAATAGACCAACTATGTCCTCATCGATATTTAGACAAATACTAGGAATTGAATAGCATTCCTATTAGAAGCCAGTTCGGATACTATTTCCTACTAGTTATCTCTGTTTATGGGCAGATGGTGCAAGGATTTTTCATGCAACAGGTATATTTTATTTAGCAGGCCCACCAGCCCTGGAGCATGAGGCTGAAGCCCTAACCACTTGGCTACTGGCACTCAGCCTGCAACAGGTATATTTTAGAAATGAAAATAACTTACTCTCATTTGCTTAAAGTCAGTCAGTAAGTCTTCTCTTAACATTATCAGTAGGTTCTTAGAAACTGTGACTTTAAGCAAAATAATATATAATGAAAGCAATTTTACCACTGGCTAATTGGTATAAATGAGAGTTAAGTTTCTACGACATATTCCTGGTCACAAATACATAATCAAAATTCTAAAGAACGACCCCAAATGCTTCCAGTCTTAAACATGAAAATAAAAGTGAGCTATGCATACATTTCATAAACATTTATAAAAAACTAAGATAACTATTTACCCAGTTTTTGGTGAATCAGTGAATGACAGCAGTCATAGAGGTGGTGAGTTCAATCAAGGAATAAATGTTTCCAAGTGAAAACTGTTAGAAGCACCACCTCTCGCCACACAGTTCAAAAACAATCACAAATAGGGCAACTCACTGAGGGTCTGTATGATTATCAGATACTTCATGAATTTCCATTTGCAAATAATTCATACTCATTCATCTATTCCTTTTCAATCTACTTATTCAGTTCAGAGCGACAGGTGGCTGAAGGCTATGTGGCAGCTAAGCGTATCCGGACACAAAATGGGAACCCATCCCAAACAGGGTGCCCTCCCCTAGCAGGGCTCTATCTCTGCCTCTCTCTGCCTCTCTCTGTCTCTCTCTGTCTCTGTCTCTCTCTCTCACACACACACACACACACTCACACTGGGATGGTGTAGGAATGCCAATTCATCTTACGTCCACATCTCTGGGATGTGGGAGGAAACCAGAGTACTTGGAGAAAACCCCTGCAGACAGAGAAAGGAGGTCCCAACTTCATACAGACAGTGACCTTGCCAGAAATATTCTTTTCTCATCAATGTTATAATGATGTTGAACAAAATGGCATGACTTGACGACGTGCTGCACTTCCGAGTAATGGCATTTGTTATTTTATTACTCTACTGAGTAAGATGGGATTGTTGAGCAAGACATCTCCCCCGTCAGCCGAATACACACACAGTCCCCCTACCTGTAGCATGTTTCCCATCCCTCTCCAGCCAATACTTCAAAAGCGCATGACTCTGGTCTTGAAGGGAGTTGGGATTCTCAATCCGAATTTGATGAATTTGTTCCTCAGTGAAATCCAGTTCTCTTGCTAATTCTAGAAGAGAAAATACTCCTTTATTAACATATTAACGTCAAGGTTTACCCTTTGCTTTGTGATTCTGTAAATGGTATGTTCTTTATATTGGGTTTTTGGGTTCTTTTATTGTATTTCTACATATTAGAAATAACTCACATGTGCTTTTGTTTTTCTAGTATTGATTATCAATTTTTTTCCCTTAAATTGATCACTTCATAGTGAAAATAGTAAGTGTGAGGCAGTGGTCATAAAATATGTATAATTCAGATCCATTTGATTCCAAAATGCAAATGAGACCCTTAATAGCTGCTTATACTTTTAACCAAGGTAATGGCAAATAAATGATGGAAAACCGAAGAAAAAACATTTTTCCCTTCTAATTATCTTAGGTGATATTTTAAGTACTATAAGTCCTGCTTCTGCATTCTTGGTTAAATTCTAATGGTTGGATAAACTCCTTTCTTTGATTTGAGGTCAGGTCCATAAAAGGTCTGAGAAGCTTTAATTGTCCTAAGGCAGAAACCCTCAGGTTTTCCCTCAAATTCTGCCATTCGTATTCCATATGGATCCGCATATATTATAAGGTGTGTATGTGAGGGTAAAGGGGGGAGGTTTTTGGAGGGCAATTTGAAAATACCTTTCAAAATTAAAAGTATGTAACTTTTACTCAGTTTTACTTTCAAGACTATGCCCTATATGTTTACTCACAAAAACATACCAGTGCACAAGGTTATTTATCATCATTAATAGGAAACAACCTGAAATCCATCGACAAAGGTCATTAACAAAATTATGGAACCTCCATACAGTGAAATTAAATAGCCATTTAGAATGAAATAGGTATGTCTATGCTGATACAATATTTATGAGAAATACTAAGTAATTTTTTGTTTACTTTTAAATAATAGGCGTTGTATATTTTTTTCTAAGTATGTAAGAAAGTATTAGCAGTTACCTTTGAGGCATGAAGCCAGAAGTAGGTAAGAGAGATATATTTAGTTTCATTTTTTATCATTCTATGTGGTTTTAGGGTTTAAATTTTTACGAAATATATACATATTGATCTTTATATATGAATACATAAACATTTAAAGAATAAAATACATAATTTTGTATGTTATCCATCTAATAAAGACAATTAGAAATATTATATTCTCATTCCTTCCCCTAAATCCCTCAATTAAATGTCTGATAAATACGTAAAAATTACTTTAAAATTATTAAAAGTGAGAAAATGACCATTCTTCCTGATTCCAGTTATTTATTCTAAATTTTCACTTACCATTCCAAGTATTATAGACTTCTACTCATCATCAAATCTTTGAGGAATTGAAAGGAGAAGAATATTACCTTATAATGTTTGTATCGATGAAGTAGTTAGTGTCAAGTGATAGGAAAAAAAGGACTTAACAAAAATTGGAAAGCCAGGCTGACAATTTTGATTTAATACAGTTTTGTCACAGATAGATGAAAGTGTATAGTGTAAAGATTACAAATCATTTAAAGACTGCAAATTATTTCTTTGTAAATAAACCATATGAGTTTAGAATTCATTTCTCCTTAATAAACTATTTAACATAGAATTTCTATACTTAAACCTTTCTCTTTCTCAAAACATTCGTGAAGCATCGGTGTGTGTTTCAACATTCTGCTGAAGCAAATTTTAATGTTGTTTATTATGAAGATATGAGATATAAGGTATCTAAAAGAAGGAGCCCTAGTTAAATCTCAAATTAAATTTTATGAAAGTTACATCTAACAACACTTTGAAACACAATAATCTCTTCCAAATTTAGATATCCGCAACTGCCAAAGGGGGGCGATGAAGGTTGGTGTATTCTCAAAACCTTCAAGTTCTATTATTCTAGATATCAGAGACCATAAAAGGTCTTCCCTAGGCTATACCCTTAGCTAATGCAAAGCCTGGATTATTCAGTTCTTAGTTTATTATTCCTTTCGTTATTCCACATGTTCTTCCTGAAACAAAGAGGGAAAAAGACCTTCATTGTTAATTTTCATTGCTAGTGACACTTGGCTGATGCATCTATGTCAGGTTTTGTTGAAAAATTGGATCATACTCATTTTACCTGTCCAGCTGAAGCCAAGGTGATCAGCAATGTAAGCCAGTCTTTCCTCGATCCGTTCCTGCTCATCCTGTGGATCTACAGAAGGTCAAAAATAGAATGGCCAAAAATTGTCTATGACAGAAGAACCATAGTCCTGATTTGTCCAAAGAAGGGAAGTCACTTGTCTAAATATTTGATAGATTAGCCATTACAGTTTAGATCATATTAAAGTTGTGTGTTTGATTTCTGGGGTGGGATGGGGAATAAATATGAATCATGAAAACCATCTGCTTCCATATCTCTTTAATCAAGACTTACTATTGGACATAATTATATAAATTGTTAATTTCCAGCAATGTTAGGACTTTTCTTTAAAATTATCTGCGAGGATACTGCCCACCATAAGATAACCAATTGGTTCATAAAACACTAGAGAAGACATAAATGAGATGCAGCAGTAATTGGTAGGACTTCTTATTGTTGCCTGTATAGATCACTTCCAGGTCATTTCTGAATGAAATCACCTCAGGCTGGGTACAGTGGCTCATGTCTGTAATCCCAGCACTCTAGAAGGTTGAGGCAGGAGGATTTCTTGACTTTAGGAGTTTGAGACAAGCCTGAGAAAGAATGAAATCCTGTCTCTACTAAAAATAGAAAAAAAATTAGCTAGTCATGGTGGCATATGCCTGTACAACCAGCTACCTGGGAGGCTGAGGGAGGTTTTTTTCAGCACAGGAATCTGAGGTGGTAGTGAGCTTTGATGATGCCACTGCACTTTAGCCTGGGCAACAAGGTTATACTCTGTCTAGGGAAAAAAAAAAAAAAAAAGGAAGAAGAAGAAATCACTGTAGCTTCACAAGAGATCTTGATGAGAGATTGATCAGACCATCTTGGATTTGTATGTGAATGCTGTGTTAGTGTATATATATGTCTTTTGAGCAAGGGTTCTGCCTGCTTGCTACTACGTAAGCTCCTATATTACTCACTAAACAAACTATAACTTTCTCATTTATTTTTTTACTCCTATTGATTGATAGATAGCATTTTAGAACTTGTTACCCCAAAATTTAATATAACCCAAATTTAAGAGTAACAGTCTTCATTATAGAGATATTGGAAGACCAGTGGCTACTTTTCAAAACATCTATGGTTTCTTTTTTTCTAATTCAAAGAGCCATCATCCCCTCACATTCAACTTAAATTGTGCAAAGTTTGAGTTTTTGTTGTTTGCTGCGTCTAATTGGAGTACAGTTGTCATTCATCTCCCAAATAAATGAAAAGCATATTTTTACCTTAGGTTTGTTTGCTTAAAGTGTTTACCAAGGGTATCTGAAATCCAACCTTTCTGAATTAAAAACAGATCCATAACAATTAGAATATCATAGTATATAAAATCTTCTTAAGCAAATGGCTTCCTAATGATTGCAAAATTTTAAGTGCAAATTATTTTAAAGTGCCCAAAGGTAAGAAGAAAAAGCACTGAGTCCTCATACTATGAAACAAAAACCAACATATTCATGTGCAAAAGCAAAAGTTCTTCATTTGAGGCTAAGCTTGAAAATTCAGAACAACAAAACTCAAAGCTTGCATGGCCTTGACGTGCAGCAGCTAAAGAAAAGGCAAGATTGCTGGTGCCTGGTTATTATGTTTATGTTTTCCATAAGCATTCTCATTACTCAATCTTGAGATTGTTTTCATAGACAAGAGTTATACAGAGAAAGCACAAAACACAAAGGGCTTACACAAACACATTAACCACTACAGAAAGCTTAAAAAGAAAATGAGACACAAATCACCAAATAAAACAAACATACGAAGAAACTATATCAAATTTATGACATGCGTAGCACAGGGAATCCCAGTGGCTGGCAAATACCTTCAGCATGGTCATGGCCATTTTCATCAGGGATGCGTTCAATCAGAGTCTCAATGGACTCATCCCAAATGGGCCGTGTGTCAAAGATGTCCTCAGGAACTGAGTGCTCGGTCTCAACAGGTGGCAGATTTTCAATTACTGAAACTTCCAGGGCACTACTACTTTCATCATCTGAAACTAACTCCTGTTCCCTTTCTGACTGTGTAAGTCTATCCACTAACTTGGAAGCCTCATCACTAATCTCTTCAAAGAATTCTATGGAGTTTCTATAAAGGTCAAAGAAATGCTCCTTACTTTCTTTTGTAGGACTCGTGCCCCCCTTGAAGGAAGATGTGGTGCTTCTGCTCTTAACTGGCAATCGGGATGCAAATATCTTGGATCTCACGACCCCTTCTTCTGACTCTAACTCAAGTTCATCTTCCCCCTCTCCACTCTCTGTCTCTATCTCAGCATAACTTCTGATTTTTACTGAGCATTTGGTCTTTGAGTCCATAGAACTAGCATCAGATTCAAATTTGTTTCTATTATCTGGTGCTCTGCTTGTCATGTCCTGTTCCTGAGGAGCCACTGTCTCCTGCAAAGAGTCTAGATGTGACAGTGCCTGCTCGACTCTTTGGATGGGTGCTTTGACAGGGATCTTGGACTTTGGTTTTATTTCATCTTCCTTGCTTTCCTCATCCAGACTGGATAGATCTTCAGAGAGTGAACTCTCATACTCTACAGATAGAGGTGCTGGAGTTGAAGTGGGTATAGTCCTTACAGGAATTTTGGATTTGCTTTCAGTAGAAGGCACATTCTCCATGGGTGCAGTAGGGATTTCAATCACTGACTTCTGTTCTTCTGGGGAAGAATCAGGAGACTCATCATCCCTATCTGAATATACAGACCTGGTAACTGTGGAAAAATCTAACTGAACTTTTACAACAGGTTCAGGGGAGTCAGGGGAAGATATCTGCTTCACACCAGACACAGGAGGTGCATCACCCATTTGCGTAGCAGGGAGGTCCTCAGTCCCTACAAAAATAGGCTCTTTTGTTGATGTTTCTGTGGAGGCTGAAATCCCCATTTGGGAGCTAAGTTGAGCATCTGAAGCAGGTACTTCCTCTACTTCCTCACTCAGGTCATCGGGAAGTAAATCTCCTTCATCATCCACTGTTTCTTTTGATTCTGAAAGTGCCAGTGACTCAGCTGAAGTCTCCAGTTGTGGGGACTCTGCTCCAGTAGTCCCTTCTTTTATGTCTTCAGAGGGTGTCTCTTCCCTGGATTCTTGACCAATCTGGAAAAAGTGAAAACTTTCATCTGCGTAAGACCTTTTGGTCATATCAATGGCACCACTTCGGGTCATCTCAAACAATTTTCCTTCCTGAAAGAGAAATGGGTTTTGCTCACTTGTTGGAGTCCCTTCTTCAGTTGGGGTCCTCGCAGGAGTGGTATCAGGAGTGGTACCCTGTGATTGTCTATCTACCATCAAACCAAATATCTTTTGCTCTTCTTCTTTCACTCGAGCCTCAAAAGCCTCATCATCTTCACGAATTTCACTCCAGGAATCAGAGTCCACATCAGTTTTTGTGATGATAACTTTGCTTATTTGTTCACCAACAACTGCTGATGCAGTGGACATGGTAGGTTCTGTAGATGAAGAGGCTCTATCTGATTGCTGTACCCATAAGGGACTTTCTTGTTTGGATTCTATTTTCATGCTCTCACCCTCAAAATTAGATTCTTCACTTGAAACAGCACTACTAAAGGAGGCTGCCACTACTGCATCTTCAATGGAGGACGTGATTGTGTCAGAATATGCTTCAGAAGAGTGAAAACCTGTGATGTGATTTGAATCTGTTTGGGTTTTGCTTTGTTCACTAGAGAAAAAAGATTGAGAAGGAACATTTTCATAAGGGCTTGTGATTTGAGGACCACAGATTTCATCAGTCTCAGCCAGGTCAGACACTGGAACATCAATGGAAAATCTATCTGTTTGAGTAGTAATGGATGAATCGTGAGTGGAGCACTTCTTTGGTAAGCTCTCAAATGTTTCATTAGTTTTTGTAACCTCCATTTTCGCAGTAGATGATGTGCAGGATATGCCTCCATCTAATTCTTTTCCTTCAGATATTGAGCAATGAGGCAAAGAGGACAAAGATGAAGCACTTTCATTGGAGCAATCCACTTGTGGAGATTCCCCTGTAGCAACATCATCCAGCTTTTTTCCTTCTGTGTCCTCATCCTGTGTGCCTTGGGGAGCTAATGATTCTTTATAGATGACTGGCTGTCCAGCAACATCATCACCATTTGAACTACTCTGTAGGCCTGAAGAGATAGGAGTGGTTGAACTGCTATGACTTGTGACCTCACATCCATGGCCATCACAAATTTTTGCTCCATCAGGGTCTCTGCTTAGATCATCACAGGACCTATCAGTGTCACCAGTGAAAGGAGTATGACTGTCTTCAGCTAACTGGGACTCTTCTTCTGATTTACCTATCTCTTCTTGAGTATCTTCATGCATCTTGAAAGTATATTGTTTAGAAACTATAGGCTGGAATTGTACTTCTTCTGGACTGGAATTGGAGTCCATGCTGGATGGAAGTGGAGAAGGAGGTTGCACTCGAATAACTGGTTCTGACAGAAGGCCTGAGTCCGAACCTTTTTTCAGCTGTGTCAATTCAGGTTCACTTTCTGAGGAGGAAGAAGTCTTTCTGCCCTCTGAAGTCACTACTACAGGGACATCACATACAACCTCTGCACTCCCCATATGTTTTGTTTCATCCATATCTGCTGAACAATCAGCATCTGGATCAGAGGAAGAAGAAGATTCTTCTTGTTTAGGTTCTTTCTTGTAGTCCCTTTTCTGCTTTGCTTCTTGTTCAAGTTCATCGAACATCTTGATTTTGGTTACCATTTTAAACATTTCCTCTTCAGGTGTGAACCTTTTTTTCTCCCCATTTTCTGAATCATCCTCCTCTGCACATTCATGAATCACAGCTGGTTTTGGTGTGCTGGAATCTGTGGTTTTGGGTGTGACCTCATAGCTAATTTCTTCAGAGCTGGGGGTGTCGGGAGAGAGAGGGCTCTTCCCTGAGCTCTCCATGAGTGATGTCTGCTCAAGGCTGTCATCCTCGGCACTGCCATCAGGGTCTCGGAGGAGCCGGGACCGCATGGAGGCCACTTCTGTAAAAAGTTCTGTTTTGGCAACAGCCGCAGGAAGAGGAAAATGACTTGGCAGAATTCCAGCCTTCATCTTTGGTTCAACGGGGCTACTTTCAAGAGAGTCACGGCAGGGGGACTCTTTCAGAGGACTGGGCTCCAGAGAATCAGGAGTTTTGTGTGACGAGTTATCTTCTAGCACAGGGCTGGCTTCCAGAGAGTCCTTGTGGCTTACTGCTAATGATTCATCAGCCACAGGACTGAAGACTTCACTTTCTCGGCTAGGGAGTGCAAGTTCTAACCCTTGGGGACTTCTTATAACTCCCTGAGGTTTTGATTCTACTCCTGTGTCTGTCTTTACAGAAGCATCAGATGGGGGGCAGGCCTTTGTCTCATTTGAGGGGGTTGTGGCTTCCTGAGTCTCACTATCAGTTTGTGTCCTGTGGGATGAACTACCTTCATCACAGGCTGTGTCCTCTGTCAGGGCCTTGGATATCTCCTTTGCCAATGATATGCTAGAGCTGCCAGGGCAATCACCTTCTCGTTTGGGGCATGTACCTATGGAAGGGTCTGGAGAACCCTCTTTGTGAACACACTCAGTGGAGGGCTCTGAGCCATCAGCAGAGACTGCAGCACCTTGCTCTTCACAACCATCAGAAGTGTCTTTGGTTATGAGATGTTCTTTTTCTAACGGAATTTCTGTCGGTGCTTCTAACTTGGTGGTTTCCTTTGTTTCCTCACTTTGCTCCTCACTTTTCTTGGGGGAGAAAGAAAGGCTTTCTGGGCTGGTCTCGGGGGTCTCTGCTAGGCCCTCGTGCTTATAGCTTTCTTCTGAACTAATCTGAGGGGTGCCCTCCATGAGGCTGCCGCAGGGAGAGCCTGCTACCCCTTCTTGCTTTAGGCTTTCCGAACTGCCATCCAAAGCGCCGCTCTGTAAGGACAGAGCCGGCAGGAATTCATCTTTCATGTAATCTAGCGGAAAGGTGGTATTGAAAGGACTAGTGAGGACTTGGTCTAAGTGAAGCTGTGCCTTTTCTGTCTCTTCACTCAGGCGGAATTGTTGATATTTGTCATTGTTTTCTAACTCTTGCTTAATGACATCAGAAAAGTCTGTGGAGGTTTTCCTGTCTGGGCTGATCTGAAGATCCAGGTCTGCCTGTTCGTCAGCCATCTTTTCTTTGGGGAGTTCACTCTCTTTATGGCTTTTTTCTTCAGCTGCTGACTGAATAGATTCAGGTAATTTGTGACTGAGAACCTTCTCCTTGTCTCCAGCTGCATCTTCTTTCTTAAACCCTACAGAAGGAGCACGGACTCCTCTTTTGGACTCTGGAGCTGCCGTTACCAGGAATCTCTGACTTCTTCTGATTGTCTGAGTCTCTGTTTTCTGCGTTTCTTTTAGGGTTAGTACAGGCCCTTTTTCTCTGTCTACCCGAGCTTTACCTTTTTCTTGTGGCTGCTTCTGCTTTGCTGACTTGTGCTCAAAGAGTCCCGTTTTGTGTTTCGATGGGTCCTGTCCCGACTGGAAAGCCTTCATCAGCTCCCGAACAGACATCGTTTCCTCGATCCTTTCTGTTTTCGATGTGGGGGAGACTGGCGGTTGCTTTTCTGTTTTCCCGGACGGTGACACAGGCAGGTGCCGCTCGGTTTTCCCCGCGCTCGACACAGGTGAATGCTTTTCTGTTCTTCCAGAAGGTGAAACCGGCAGGCGTTTTTCTGTTCTCCCTGGTGATACTGGTGGATGTTTCTCTGTTCGCCCAGAAGGTGACACAGGGGGACGTTTGTCTGTTTTGCCTGCTGGTGAAACAGGTGGGTGCTTTTCCGTTTTGGTAGATGACACAGGGGAGTGTCTCTCAGTTCTCAACGAGGGTGATACAGGTGAGTGTTTCTCAGTTTTACTTGACGATGACACAGGTGAATGTCGCTCAGTTTTTGGAGAGGGTGACACGGGAGAGTGTTTCTCAGTTTTACTTGAGGGTGATACTGGAGAGTGCCTTTCCGTTTTTGTGGAGGAGGCAAGAGAAGAATGTCTGTCGGTTTTAGAGGAGGGAGACGCTGGCCCGTGCCTCTCTGACTTCAGGGAGGGTGATGCCGCTGCATGTGCCCTGGGGGTGGCCTTCTTTGGCGTGTCCTCTTTGCCTTTGACTCTGACAGGCAACTTGCTTCGTCCTTTCTGCTCGTCTTCCACTTTCTTCTGAAGGGCCTTTACTTTGTCCTTTATGGAACCAATGGGAGTTTCTTCTATCAAAGGAGATGTGGCCTTTGCCGTGGGAAGAGGTTCAGGGGCTAAACCTGCGTCTTCCTCCAGTGACTCTTCTGAACTACACTTTTTAAATTCCGTTTTTTCTGCATTCGTTTGTAAACTTTCCTCTTTTTGTTTCTGCTTTTCCTTTAATTTCCGTCTTACTGGCTTCTTTATGCCCAGGCTTGGTCTGGGCTGTTTCTGGGCACTCGGTGTCTCATCCGAGGGGAGGCCTTTCCCCTTATTTTCAGAGCTCTTGCCAAGAGCCGGAGCCTCACGTCTCTCCCCTGCCGTGTCTTGAACTGTCTGTGGCTTCTCTTTATGCAGAGACCCGTGGGAGTTCAGATCGTCAGTAAGGTATTTGACTAGCCCTGTCGAGTCTTTCTCTGCTTTTACTTTGGTCCCTTTATCTATTCTAACTTCTACACAGGGGTAGTCGGTGATTTCTAACGGTGCTTTCTCCTTAGCCTCTGCTATCTCCTCGTCACTGACGAGCACCCATTCCTCTTCCACTAACCCTCTCTTGGACTGAGCCCTACGCAGACTGGCTTCTTCCCTCATGCAGGTCCCACTTCTCAGGATTTCATTCACTTTCTCTAAGTCCTCTTTCACTCTTTCAACGATTTCAAAAGGCTCTCCTGGCTCTTCCTCAGCAGCCTTCACCAGCTCCTTCACTTTAATGGACCCTGCCTTATCTGATACATCTGTGGTCAAGATGGCGGTCATTTTGATCAAATCTTGTTTCATCTCAGAAACTTCCGAGAGCAAGTCCGGACTTGCTAGGACAGGAACTTCATTAACCAGGTGACTTTTCAGGACAGATGTTTCTGTAGATTCTGTCTCATCATCTTTGATGTGAATGAAAAACATTGAAAGTAAAATGGAAATCAAAAAAGATATTGGCAAATGTAATCAGGACTGAAACGACACAGCCTCTTTTCCTGTCGTGGTGGGAAGGGCAACAAAATGGGCTGGGAATGGTGGATCCACAAGGCTTCAGGGTACAAGAGCAAAGCAAGGCTAACGGAAAAAAAACTGAAAAGGAAAAATGAGCAGGAAATAACTTGCTTAATTTTCTCACTTATAGCACATCCACACATACAACAAAGCTACCACAAATAATCAAGACACACACACAAATAAAAAAAAAACCATCACAAATCAAAACAAAGAAAGAACGCAGTGAAATTACACAGAAGTATCTCAAGATTGTTCGGATGTTACAGATCAATGTTGAAAAAAAAAACCAACCATGGGGAAATAATAAGAAAAAAGCATTAGAAATTGCAGAAAGTTGATTTCCCCTAGGAGAAAGCCAGTAGTAGCAAACTCAGAATACCATCTAATGACATATACACATTTTTCTTAAGAATATAAAAAATGTGGAATTCAGTATGTTTAGTTCTGCCAATAAACAAGATTATATGAAATGTATCTGAATCAGCTGCAAACCGGCATTTCCTCTAAGGGAAATTCACACCTAACAATGAAACAAACAGTCTGGTGCTAAGAGGCGTGGCCCTTTCCTTGGAGCAACCTCCTTGTTTAGACACAAAATGGACAGACCAAGGAGGGAAATAAAGGAAAGGAAGGAAAACCAACAGGTACAACACTGTGATTAAACTTAGATGTGAGTCCAAAGTTAAAATGTGATGCATGGCAACCCAAATCGGAGACAGTCACACGGGACACACGCACAGTTTATGTAAGCCAAGTTATTTCCATGCAAAGCAAAGGTGGAGTAAAACTGCTGGGAGAGTCGGCCTTGCTGAAACGCATGGGCAGGACGATGGCAAGAAATTAGAACGGATATGTAAAGCATTACGGTGGTGAAGTGTATTCATCTCCCTACAAGTCTGCATGTAAGATGCTGACTGTAGCATATTCAAGGTGTAGGCGGTGGAGGCCTGCACACGTGGGCAAGGAGGAAAACTCAAACTCTCTTCAGATTTATTCATAAAAAGACTTTAGGAAAGAGTTCCTTCAGCGGAGGCCCACTTTAAAGATGATTTCATACCTAGGTGAAACATTATTTACTGATTGTCTTTAAAACAAAACCAAACACATGTTTGTATTCGAAACTTTTAAAATGTTTAAAAGGATACCTATCAGTCATTCAGGAGAATCCATGGCATTATAGCAACATGGTAATGGTTTTCCCTCTTTTTTCTTTTTAAACAGTTGAGCTAAGTGGATGGGTGGATTAAGTCTTACTAGCTTACATCCCAGGACCAAAATAAAGGGTCATTTAAATAAATTAGTAGCTCTGAAGAAGAAAGTGGGAAAATAAAATCAAATCACTCAAAACAAAAGATAAATCAGTGAAGGCAATAAATGTATATAAACAAAAGTGCCTTCTCTTAAGGGAATCTGTATTTATTGAGGAGACATAGTTTAAGAATGTACATATACAAAATGTATCAAAATAATTTATATCAATACAGATTTAGTTAGGTAAGCCAATAAAAACATCCAGAACCTCAAGCATACTAGTCCCGAATAATAATTTAACATGAGGGTAAGTCTCAATGAAGTCTAGTTCAATAACTTGGTAGTAAATTACACTGTGCTAGGACTTAAAAAAAAAGCCCTCGGATCATTGTATAGGGCCTGATGACCACATTAAACCGGGCTCTAAGTTCTCTCCTGCTGGGAATATTACTCTGAAATACAGTAAAACAAAATAAATCTTATAATCAATGAACAATAAAAATGAGAATTTTTTCCTCTAAGAGCACTTGGACCATTAAAGCCAGGAAGCCTTTAATCAAATCCAACTTGAATTTCCACACAAGAAACCAGACAGTTATCAGAAGTAGGCCAACAAACCAAAAGGTGAATTGACTATTACAAACCTGAAATGAATTCTAAGATAGCTCTCATAAGGTCTCTGGGACTTGCGTCATTATTTAAAAGCAGCCCTATAGCAACACATTGTTAATTACTGATTACTGTGGTGATCAGTGATTTCACCTAGGAAGTTGTAAATTTTGCCTTCGTGGCTCCTACATTTTTTTTCCAGAAAGTTTTCACAGAAGTCTGTTAGACGTCAGCCCTTCAGATGTTATTTACACTTCACCACAGCAAGTACAAGGGAGCGATGGAGGGCAGGGGTGTGGTGGGGAGTTAGCGTCAGCTAAGAACTAGAGACAGTATCACTTTTGCAGGTGTGTCCTACGAAAGTTATGAGCTCTCTAAGGAAGTCACTGTTGCTTTAGGTGAAAAGTGATACTGTCACGTCAGTGCTTAAAATATAATGGGATGACAGTGTTATGTCAACAAATGGACAAAACGGTAGGGTGGGTTTCTAAACAAGCATAACAGCAATACCAAGTTAACAAGGATGTCCAAAGAAGTGAATGCTTAGATGAATAATCATTGCATCTTACTGCTAATTAGCTCACAGATTAGCTATGTTTGTAATTTAACTGGCCAAGCTGCTTTTATAAATATATATTAATGATTAATAAAGTTAATATAAGAATATAATTGTTACAGTGGTTAGTAACAGCAATTAGCTTTCATTTAAATTCATGCTTTTTAAAAAAAAAAAATTATAGCCAGCTTTCAAACAAACTCAATTTTATTTAAAATCTTACTTTTTTCTGATGTCATATCGATCTGAAAGAAAACATACATAAATTGAATGGTTACAAACAGCACCTTGGCTCATAGCCCTGATGGGCACAATAAGGTCCTGTTCATAGTCACACACACGGGGCTGACACTGGAAGCTAGAGGGAGGTCAGAATAATCTGATGTAGTTTTTCCTGAGAGTCCCCATGATTCTTATCCTAACTTTGAACCAAAAAAAAAAAAAAAATCTCTTTTCTAGACGCTACTGGTAGAAAGTCTTTCTGACATGGTATCCTGGGAAGGTATGAGCCAGGCTGTGTTTGATGTTAGAAATAGATATCTATCTATATCTCTCTCTATATATGAAGAAGGTCAGGAAAGGCTGAAGTCAGTATTAAACAAGTAAGTGTCAATTTAGTGAAGAAAAAGGAGAGAAAGACAATCACCCTGCCAGGGTGACACATTGGACGGGAGTAGTTTCATCATCGTTAATAACAAGCCAGCATTCCAAATCTGAAAAGAATAAAAACTGGCAATATGGCCAGGAATAGTTCCTGAAAGTATTCAATATGGTGTGTGACACACTTCTTGGGGGCAGGACACAATGATAAGGGGGACTCTACCTAACAAATGCAATCACTGTATTCTGGTTCTCTGTACCCTCAATGAATCCTCAACAATTAAAAAAAATGATAATCATCTAATAGAAAATACTCATTTGTGACTATGGCTAAGCTGGCTTCACAATTTTTATTGCTCTTTCAAGCAGGTGTGTGGGTACCTGTGATAGAATCACTGAGTACAGGAAGGAGATGGAGGATGTGAGACAAAGAGTGACCGTGCAGTTGAGGGAAGAATGACTTCAGCCTTATCATGAGCGGCCTGTTCACAGGGCTCTAGACAGCAGGGCAGGGAGTTTCTAATCACCCTTCCCTCTCTGCTCGGCTGCCAAGATAGCAGAAAGGAAAGTGAACTCGGGGGAACTCTCTGAACTGATAAGGCCTTACAGTTTAAGCTGGGGGGTACAAAGGTATTTATACTTTCACTTATATTTTAAATACATCAGAGTAACATTTTAAAAAGAAAACTAGTATATTTGAAAACACTTACATGTAACCAATAACAACTGCATCTTAGGAATAGGAACTGATGTTTTAACAGGTAAATATAAAAAGTTTTCCAATCTCTATTTATACTCTATTTGGGCATTTATATTATAATATTTGGGCACGTTCAGATCTTTACAAGGGAGACAAAGACATATTTGCTTTCAACGTTGAAGCAGATATAATTCAAATGGCTATTTATTCAAGGTAGCCTCTCTAAGACTTGTTTTTTCACCTCTGATACAAGGGCACACATCTCCTAGGGTGGTCGTGAGAGATCAGGGTTGATGAGGTATGTGGAGCACTTGGTAAACATCTACCATATTAAAAATTCTCATTATTCATACAGTTCTGCATTACAAAGTTATGACAGCCTAACAGATGAACTATATGATCCTTAAACTGTTGTGGTCTCAGTAATTCTCCACTTCTTTGGTCTTAGGACCCCTTTACAGTCCTGAAAATTACTGAAGAGCCCAAAGAACTTTTGTTGATCTGCGATACATATAAATAAATATATGTTTTAAAAATTAAAGTTAAGAAAATTATATATGTTAATTTTTTATATGTTAAAACCTTATAAATATATGTTTTAAAATTAAAGTTGAGAAAATGCATATTAATGCATAACATATTAATTATTTATATGTTAAAACATTATAAATATATGTTTTAAAAATTAAAGTTGAGAAAATGCTAGTACACGAGTACCCATTCCATGAACTGTCAAAGTGGTGATGTTGTCACATGTAATACAGGCTCTGGAAAACTCTCTGAAGCTTGTGAGGATATGAGAATTCAAAACGCAAACTGTGTCTTCATACTGTTATAAAAAATGTTCCGACTTGCAGAATTCTTTAGTCTAACCTTTAAGAACTATTGAGATAATGCTTTCGCCTTCAGTAGTTGGTAGATGTCAACAATTTATAGGGAACCTTTTAACTATTCTCTGAAGTCAGCCAATCAGATGAGAAAAAGATGCTCCAGCAGGTGAAGTAAAATTGTGCTCCTTTATTTGCTAAGAACAACCGCCCATCCCTTCTAAGAACCCCGACTAACTATGTGCTCTTTGTAGTGGTTACAGCAATGACACAGCCGTTAACAAGTAACACTCATAAAATTACCTCTTCCTCCTGTTCTTGATCTGACTCTGATTCCTTGCCGCCCCAAGATGCCATGCAAGATGGAAAAAAAGAGAGAAGGAAGAGGAGATAGTATTTAGAAGAAGAAAAAGGAGTAAATATTCTGTCTCAACAGGCAAGTAGACAGTCACAGTACACTCTTAATTTTTCTTACTAACAGTTTATAGAAGATAAAGAGAATCTAACAAATATTGATTTAAATACAAAAGTATGTACATACGAGAGACAAAAGAACCCAAATTATAAATATGCTAATTTCAGATGCTAGTAACCAGCAGTCTGGAAGTTTGACGTTTAAGGAATTTACAGCAGGATGATATTCTAGTCATTACAGATATTGGTTGAAAACGTTAAAAGCTTGAAAGCTACAAATAAACATATGGTAAAATTATTTTCAATATACGGGCAATAATAATTAGAAGTTTTATGATAGTAAAGGTCTAAGTTCTGAAGTACATCTTAAATGTATGACAATTGGCATGGCTTTCTTTTGCTTTGAATGACTAAACAGGAAATGATTGTGGACCATCACACAATTAATAGCTGTTTCTGATATGTTTTGACTTAGAAATAAACTATAATAATAAAATAAATGCTTTCTTTTATAGCACATCCAAAGCTCATTCACCCTTTCAGATCACTCATGTGGCTTGCCCACAGCAGTCCCTATTTCTCTGGGCCACTACGCCCAGCCACCTCTGTGTGGTTCTTATTTGGCATTCTGCCTCAGTCACTCACTACTGATCGGGCTCACACACCCCAAAATACATTCTGTACCATCAGAGGACCATTGGATTAAGCTCATTTGTATTGATATACCCATTGCTATATTCTAATTCTTGGAATAACATGTACATTTATATATAGAGAGAGAGATAGATGCGATTTCACTTTTTCATTTATTATTTATAATGTCAACCTTAACACTACGAGCTTTTGGCTCTATGATTGATCTCTATTTATAAGAATAATTAATTCATCAAATATGCAATTTGACAACTGTGGTGGAGGAAAAGTGGGATAAGAAATTTTTTGTTTTGTGGAGTTAAGCTTTAGGATTTTAATTTTATTCCTACTTCTCCTCCAGGTTTCAGCAGCTGTAACTCATCTCCCTCCCTGACCTGTGAGATACACACTGACAAATTGTTACAACTATCTAGATTGTTATGCAGGAATGTCTTATTCAGAGGGGATATTGGTTCTTAAAAAAAAAAAATTAAAAACTTAAAAATGGTTAGCAATTTTTCTACAACATTTACATAACTCAGTTGTGGTCTTTGATTTATCAAGAATATTCAAGGAATTCTGTAATGGGGAGAAGTTTGAAAAGAAAGTCATTTCTGCAGGTAGACTCTTGGTAAAGAATGAATTTTTCCTTTTCAACAATATTTTAACTCTGTTTCTTGTAATGTGAGAATATTTCTTATATGAATCATATTAAAATCATTGAAAAATTTTTATACTCCTAAAATATGTTTTAAGACGAATAGGTTATTATTTAGCAAAAAGATAAAGTATCATGAAGTGGTTCTGAATTGAATAATACATAATCCACCTGCGAATTGGGAGTAAGCAGAAGCTAATAAAAAAAAACTCTCATATTTCGGTAGAACCAAATGCACTTGTATAGTTACAAGAGAGTACATAAAAATGAAGACAAAGGCAATTATCTTTAAAAGTAAGTTCGAAAAGTTAAATCTTAAACTCAATTTTCTCTCTTCCATGTCTAATACGTGTTAATAGAATTTTCCCATCAAAATGTATTTAATGCAAAATAAGAAGAAACTACTTTTTTCCATAGTTAAATGGAAAATTATAAACTCAACAGGGAGTCAAAAGTGATGCTTATACATGCTTGGATTCAGTGCCTTTGCTCATGTTCACTTTAAAAGACTTGACAGTCAGTTCCCACACTGCTCGCACTGCACTATAGCAGATTTTACAATACCTTTATATAAATCGGCAGGGTGATGTTTAAGTTGCAAATAGCTTGATGCACCAGGCCTCTCGTGGATTTTGGCTCCTTCATAAATGATAGTCGTCCGCAAGGTTCCTGAGTTGTATCACGCACCTGAAACAAAAATGACATTCATGCTTCAATCGTATTTGTGATGTACTATTTAATTTAACTGGATGATACTTAAAGAAAGCAAATAAATTTATTTGTCACTGCTGTGTAAGAATTCAGAGGGCTTCCTTTTTCTCTTCTCCTATTACCTTTTAAAATGACTTCCTAAAAATCATTTGTGGATTATTTTTCAGCTTTACTAAAATATGACTGACAAACAAAACCTGCATATATTTAAATTACACAAAGTGATGATTTGATATATGTATACATTGTGAAATGATTACCACAGTCAAAATAATTAACCACCACCTCACATAATTTACTCTCCCTTGTTTTTTGTGGTAAGAGCAGTTAAGATCTCTCTTATCAAATTTAAAGTATTTAATACATTATAATTAACTATTGTCTCCATGTTACACATTAGTACTCTAGAACTTATTCAGCTTTTAAAATAATTGTGGTAAAATCAATATACCATAACATTTACCATTTTTGCTATTTCAAAATGTACAATTCAGTGGCATTAAAGCATATTCACAAAGTTGTGTGATCACCACTACTATCCAGAACTTTCTATTGTCCCAACAAAAAATATACCCATTAAACAGTAATTCCCCATTCCCCAGTCCCTCGTCACCTCTCTTCTACTTTCTCTCTCCACATAGGAGAGAGGTACCTCACACAAATGAAGCATATAATATAATTTGAGTCTCGCTTATTTTACTTAGCATAAAGTTTTTGAAGTTCATCAATATTACAGCCTGTATCAGAGTGTCTTACTTTTTTTTGACTAGAGTAAAATATATATAACATGAAACTTAATAATTTTTAGGTGGACAGTGCAGTAGAATAAAGTACATTCATGATGTTATATAACCATCACCATCATTCATCTTTAGAATGATGTTCATCTTCCCAAACTGAAATTCTGTGTCCATTAGTGTCCATCAAACAATAACTTCCCATCCACCCCTTCCCTAGCCACCCTTCTATTTATTGTCTTCATGCTGATGTCCTATAAGTGGACTTATATGGTATTTGTCCTTTTGGGTATGGTTTATTTCATTTACCAGATTGCAGCATGTATCAGAATTTCATTCCTTTTTTAAGGCTGAATAACATTCCATTGCATGGATGTACCACATTTCATTTATCCATTCTTCTGCCAACGGACATTTCGGTTACTTCCATTTTGGCTACTGTGGCTAATGCTGCTGAGAACACTGGTAATTGCTCAAGTCCTGCTTTTAACTCTTTGGGGTATATGCTGAGAAGTGGAATTGTTGGATCATCTGTATGCTAATTCTGTATTTAACTAGTTGAGTTTTCTGAGGGACTACCATACTGTTTTCCACAATGGCTACAATATTTTACATTCCCACCAGCAAGGCATCAGGGTCCCATTTTTCCCACATCTTTTCCAACACTTGTTTTTTTAAATAATATATTTTTTAAAATAATAACCATCCTAAGGGGTAGGATGTGATACCTCCTTGTGGTTTTGATTTGCATTACCCTGAGCTCTTGAGCATCTTTTCATGTGCTTATTAGCCACGTCCATATCTTCTTTGGAGAAATATCTATTTAAGTCATTGGCCCACTTTTGTATTGGGTTATTTGTAGAATGACTTCTATACATCAACTTTATCAGACATCAGCTGTTAAATGGATTCATTTCCCCTGAGCAGCTACTGCTTCATGTGGTACTGTATAAGGGCCTATCCTTAATCAGGCAGAACAATGGAACCGGAAGTAGCACAATAAAAGACTCAGTAGAGACCTTGGAAAAACTTAATAAAAGAGGTCTGAATACGCATGGTCGTAAAAATAATGGGGGGGTCAAAATAATAAAAGGAGTCGTTGGTGATGAATAGTTTGGAAATTAGTTATTGAAGAAGGTCTAGAACAAAAGCGGATGGAGATCAGCCTGTACTTGGAGAGGACAGAGCATTAGGACCACTAACATAGTAAAATAAATTATCAGAAACAAGAAATAAAGTGAGTGGCTGGAAAATGGAGTAGAGTAAAATTAATTACTCCCCTTTCATGTCACGAGTTTCTCATTCATTCATTTGTGGTCCTCTTTAGAATTGGAATCTAGGATAAAACTTGCATATATCACTGCAAATCCCTAACTTGGATTAATGTTCCTAAAAAGAGACAAGAAGCACCAGGTGCATTGAAGTGTCTCCATAATGTTTGTTGAATGAACTTAAAAAAAATCATCAAGTCTATAGCTCTATCTGTCAAAATTTTTTAACAGCTTAAGTGAGATGCTGGGTCTTTTGAGAGATTTTATTATAATAAGTTGTCACTGAAAACTCTTGATATTCACACTTGCAAAATCCACATATATTTTTAAAATCTAACCATAAATATTCAAAAGTGATAATAGTAAAATAGACTTTGCTTCAAATTTGGAAAAGAGTAGCTACCATTTCTACTTAATGAACTGGCTAATATTTGTACTGTTCTCATTCTTAAACATAAAATAATGTATTAAATTAAGGCTGACTTTCAACTTCAAAAATAGAATTGGTTGGGTTTCCAAGATTGTAAAACTTTACAGATAATGGTGAAAAAAATCCCTAGAAATTGAAAAGAACATGTTCTCTACCACTATAGGAAGTCAAATCCTTCCTTATCTGAATAAAATGCATTTTAAAATTCCATGTGTAAATTACCTTGACAAAGAGAGGAAGTCTGTTTTCTTTGAAGGCAAAAAAACTGAATATATGATGTTGGCCACTCTTGGTTAATGGTACCAGGTTGCCAAAACAGTCCACATATATGGGTTTTCCTTCTAATACCTGTGTGAAAGCAGAGAAAAACAACACAGAATAAGATAGCTCCAATTATAACTTGTTATTTACACAAAGAAGGCGGTACTACTCGGAACTTAAACTACACATTCAATAGTCTTAAAATTGCCAACTGACTCTCTGATTTTACCTTTGACAAAGCCCATAAGATACTCCAACTTCTTACTAGTGATGGGAATCTTCAATGCATGATGACATTTGATGTTCTCATTTCTGAATCCACATTACCCCCAGAAACCCACATACATCTAAATCTCAAATTTAAATTTCTGATTGGTTAACTTTCTATATCACCATCAGGTTACTGGGCTTTCATATCCACTGATGGAAAATTTCAAAAAAAATAATATAGAAAATCAGTGGATATGCTTCTTCAACATTTATGCAAAAGGGTATACTTCCTAGACTGTTTTTGTTACTATTAAAAAAATAAGAGCAACAAGGAAAGCCAAAAACACCTAATCTGCTATAAGTCACTTACATATTTTGAATTTGTCAATAACTTATAATTTTCCCCAAATAATTTTTAAGGGAATATTTTTACTTCCTCACCTACACTGAGATCTTCCCTACAGGATCTACTCCAAAGGGCTAAAAGGGGAAGATTTTGGACCTTGACCTTCTAACTGATCATGATGTAGACTGGTCTTTCAATTTTTTATGACTATTTATTAAACTCTATTTGAAATATAATCTATTAAAGGTATAATAAAATGGCATGAATCATTTTCTTTTTTAATACAGTACCTCCACATCCCTGCTTCTGGCCACCTCAGCAAAGTTTTCTTGTTGTTCAAGGGTCTTATCCACTTTGTCGTCCGTCATACAGAAACATCTCAACCTGGCTTCAATGGGGTCGTGTGATTTGGCAAACACTACAAATTTGGCCATATAAGGTACACAAATAATTTCTCTATAGACTTGTGATGCAAAGGTAACGGATTCTTGGATCTGTCGACAATCTATCAGCCAGAACCTATGAAAAGAGGTAAGGTCCATCATCTAAAGTTTAAGGTATACCACTTAAAAAAAAAATCAGTTCCTTAAGGGTGACCAAAGCCTTCATCAAATGCTTCTTCAAAGAAGCAAGAGAGGGAGATGATGAAGAAAGTCAAAAGAAAGAGAAAGCAAGTCGGGGACGAGAAGAGAGGCAGGAGGACAGATGGGGTCGCTGAAGGGAGAAAGGAAGAGGAAAAGACAGAGCAGGTTCTGAAGAGCAACAATTTGTAAGAGCTACAGCTGGAAGTTTCTTCTTTGGAAACTTCTGAGCATTCACTCTTCTGAAATACATCTGCAGTGTTGTAGAATCCTTTAGTAGCGTGAGCCCCAAATCAGACATCCCGACAATGCTCTCACTGTATTGGTTTCTATCTTCCTGTTCCCTCTCATTCCTCATCTCATGTCCCGAAACTCAGCAAAATCTGTCCAGCTTTTCCCCAGGTCCTCTCTCTTTTTCAAGGAACTCTCCAATCACCAAAGTTGTATCAACTCAGCCATGTAAAAATATCTGCTCCAGAACTCCTAGATACTGCTGAATATAACTCAGAAGAAATCACTGGCTCCAGGACCTCATGATAACCAGCCTCAGCTCCGTCTGTGATACTGCTTGGCAATTTTTTGTTTAGATATCACTGTATTCAGAATTCAGTAACATTGCCAAACCTTTATGACACTCCCTGAGCTTTGCCCCTTACCTCAGGCTCCAAGAAAAATAACTTTAGGGGGGAAATATGGGCCACCATGTGGAAATTTCTTCCACTTGTTTTTATGCACCCCTGACGGTTTCCTCCACCTTTCCCTGGCTTTGGGACCTCTCCCCGGTGATTCCTGTCCTTCCTCTTACTCATTCTCCACAATCTGTAAACATGCCTGGGATTTCCTTCTTGCAGTAACATCTCTTTCTTTCAAGTTCCTGATCCATCTCTCTTCTTTTTTTCTGACTGTGCTAAAATACACGTAATATAAAACTTATCATTTTAACCACTTTTAAGTGTACGGTAGCATGAAATGCATTTACAGTGTGTGCAACCATCACCACCATCCATCTCCAGAACTCTTCATCATTCCAGACAGAAACTCTGTACCCATTAAGCAGTAAGCCCACCTTTCCCTCCTCACTCCAGCCCCGATTAACTTTTATTCTGCCTTCTGTCTCCATGAACTTGCCTATTCTAGAACCTCTTATAAAGAGAATCATGCCATATTTGTCCTCTCGTGTCTGGGTTAGTTCAATTAGCATTACGTCTTTAAGATTCAGTATAGGGCCTGGCTCACATCAGGTACTCAGTGTTACTTTCTCCTTTCTGTTGATCCAACTCTATTTACTTTTTTATTCATTATCTAGGAGTTACATTATTAATACTCCTCATTTTTGGTATCTATTGTTTTAATTCAGTTAATTTTACCCTTTTTTGTAGAAGTGGAGTCTCAAACTCCTGGCCTCAAGTGATCCTCCCACTTCAGCCTCCCAAGCTGGGACTCCAGGCAGGAGCTACTATGCTTGGGCCATTTAGTTACTTTTGACATCTTCCTGCAAAACAGCTGATTTTTTTTTTTTTTTTTTTACTGCAACTGATTTTATTTTTGTAGTAATTTTGTTTTCATGTAGTTCTGGGCAGTTTCTTAGTCATCTTTTAAATGACAAATAAAAATCGTATATATTTATGGTTACTCCTGCCTTCTTCATCTACCTTTAAAGGCCTTCTAGAAACAGTACTGCTGACCCACCTTCTAGCATTCATTCTATTTGAATTACAGAGTACCTGGGTCACTGTTGTTATCTTCCATTAAATCTCCTGCGTTCTATCTTTGCTCATGTTATTTTGTTTTCCACTTGTATCTAACTGTCCATTAGGTTCCAACAAAGGTCTCAGGACACCTCTTCTCAGACACCCTCTTTATCCCAGTGTGAGTCTCCTCCTCTGAATTCTTTTAGTGCGTCTGGTCTATACCTCTCACTCAGAACTTGTCATTTTCTGGCATTAGAGTTACAGACACATAATAGCAGAAAACACTAAAACACAGAACTGTTACTGACACATAGGACTAAATAGTTGAGCCCTCTGGGTGGCTGGAACTAGAAACAGGTGCCACCAAGCCCAACTACTGCTATGCAGTGATTTAACTGGCCATGTATTTTTTATCTTTTCTTCCTCCGACTCTCTAAATAGGAATTTAAGTTTTAGTCATGCTCAACTTCAGTTTTCTCACCTGTAAAATGGATATAATGCCTCTTGCTCTACATAAGTCACAAAGTTGTTGTAACATCCAATTAAAGAGATGTGAAAATCCTTACCAATCAATTAAAGACCATACAAATGAATTATTGTAAAACTAGATAACTTCAGCTTTTTGAAAATGTGTAACACATAAATGAGAAATACATACATACATTGGGATATATATGAACCACTGAAATCGCAAAGCCAATTAAGCAAACCATGGTGGGCTTCGTGTTTTTGTTCTTATTCTGTTGGAAAAGTAATTTGGGCTATTTTGTTGACAACAGGAAATTATCACTCCTAACACCTTTAGGACTGGAAAAATCAGCAGTGGCTCATAAAGCCTGAGTCAGAGTCATCCAGCCACAGCGGACAGTCACTTATTTTCCTTAGATTTTAATCTAACTGGTAGCACTCTGTCATTGTACTGCCACAATTGCATTTCCTGACAGGTCTAGTTTAAAACATGAAAGCGAATGCACACTATATTTAAAATCAAACAAAAAGCTTTTAGAGACTAAAGAAACGAGATAAAACAAAACCAAATCCAGTTTTGTGGAGCTGGAGGAGGGCGCTAGCCCACTGGGCTTTTCTGAGCTGCACACGCATACCTGGCAGACACATTGGTTGTGAAGGAAACACATTCATTGACAAATGTTAATGGCGTAGTTCCTGTAATATCTTCCCACTGAGCAGGGGTGGTTCCACCTGAAATAATATGATTGTTGGAAAAAAAATGAATTAGGCAAAACTCCAGACTCTGGATTCTAAAATAAAGTCTTTGTGGTTCTGTGTTCACCAGCCCAATCCCATCCACCCTTCAAAATGACACATTGACAACAAAATGACTAAAAACTACATGCTAAAAAATGACAACGTTGAAAACAAACAGCTGACACTACCCCTCAAGGAACTACATGTAGGGGAAGTTAACCAGAGTAACTGTTTACTGGGCATTCTATTCTCTGCAGGACACTCTGAAGCTCTCATCATAATTGCTAGGCTCTGAGGATAATTTTGAATTGTATACAGTTGATTATCTTAGAAGATCCTTTGACCGACTAAGGAGCTGAATACTTTGTTAAAATAATAATTTAAATACTCTTTTATTCCTGAACATCATATTTTTCACAACTATTTTCAAAAACTGAAAATTTCTCTCAATTTACAAACGTTAAGTTGGCCAAAAAAAAAAGGTTCAGAAAATACAAGGTAGCCATAAAGTTTGTGTGTAACTTAAAATAGTGTGCAATCTTTCACTGCACATGAACTTTATGGACACCCTGTATTAAGGGCTCCATGAACAACACAGAGTGAATGAGAGAAAAATAAATGAATGCAAAGGGCTCTGCTCATAGGAAAACCACCATGAGGGGTGATAGTGACTATTTGCCTTTCATTTCCACTGAGAAATTAACTGGATATAAACAAGGACAAGTTTTAGACGAAAAAAGGAAATGAAAAAAATCTTGACTCTATTAAAAGTTTCTTAAAGAAGGGAGTAGTTTATCAGAAAAGGCTATGAAGAGTTTATTCTAGTAGGCCTTTAAAATACATACATATCTTAGCATAACTATATAACATAGAAAAATACAAAACTCCAAATGCCTAAGTATTTTTTAATACATAAATTTACTTAATTAAAAAATTTTAATTATATTTAAGAAATTGTTTAGTAGAATCCTGTCTTAAGAATAAGAAGATTAGATGGTGCCTGAGCCTATACCGTGTCTTTATTTGATCATTACAAAGGCAGGGCACGCCATCGACATTCTTCAGTCTCACCTATTTCACATTCATGCCATTATGTTCCACGCTATAGAAGATTAACCATATACACTTGGAGCAAAATTTGTGGGAAATATGCCCCCAAATAAGAAGTAATAATAAGAAATCAGCAATTGGGAAAGAAATCTTAAGTGAAGCATATGATTTCTCCCTACACTCATTATAGTCCATAAATTTAAAAATTTTGTCATACTGTTAAACTTATGGGATAATCTCAGTGGAGCTCTATGAGAAGTACAGAAAATATAGTAATAAGAAGGGAGAATTAGAGAAAATATTGATGAACATGTCTGCCAATAGGACGGAAAAATAAAAAAAAAAATTCTAATAGTACCAAAACAACCAAGGATGGTTCTTGTTCCTACTAATGACAGTATTAATATTTGCGGAATGCCAACAGCATGCAATTACTGATAAACAGAGAAATTATCAGTTAAATTTTGTAGCCCTAAAACAGATTGTGTGGATTTTGTTGCCTCTCATCATCTGCGGTGATATTATTATGGAGAGACAGTGTTCTGGGAATGTCTTTGAAGCATCTAACAGTTCGGAAAGCTACTACAATGACCAATTGAAAAGAATAAAAAGTGGTGAATCATCAAAAATCTTTACTTTCTTTTTCCAGGGTTAGTTCCATAGATCCGTAGTAAAGCTCTAACCAGTCCCTAGACAGAACAGTTTGATTTAACCTATTGGGTATAATTATAAAAGGTGATATCTTCAGTGAAGGCATGAAGCCTGGGTTTTGGAGGTGTATGGGCTTGGGTCCGAATCTCAACTCTGCCAAATATCTATTGCAGTGAATTTCAACCCTTGAATCATAAAAGGATCTTAGGTATGCTGTGAAAATCTTTAAAGGTCATTATTTTTGAAACAGGGTCAAGGCACAGTAATTTTTTTTTTCACTCTTTCGCACATAATTTAAGTGTGCCACAGTTTAACTATAGGTTCAAGTGTCCCGTGAGCTGAAAAAAGTTTCAAAAACACTGATCTATGGTGTAATGTGGGCAAGTTATAGAACTTCTTTCAATTTTTTTTTTCCAGCAAAATGGGGTTAAATTTTTGTCATAGGGTTACTGCGAAGATGAGAATGACAATGCGAACAGTTTAGTTTGGCATACAGACTTTATTTAGTAAATATTAGTTCCTTTCCTTTCATCTTTCATTTCTCTCATTAATTAAAATGCTTTCCCTGAATTAATGTATGTAACTCTGCAGGCATCTTACAGCAAAGGTAATTTAGCGTTTACACCAGTCCGTGTCTCTTTACCAGAACTCTCTACTAACAGAGTTATATATGATTCACCTGTTATGCTGCATAGTAATCTCAAGGTTGGTGCATCTCCCCCAAAACCATTCAACATGACATCACTTGAAGCTTTGGGGACAGGAATGGTCATAGTAATTGGCTTGTGGAATTTTCTTCTTCTGGGTTCCAGCGTGACTATAGGGCTGAAGGTAGCTTTGTTGCCTAGGATCTTCTTAACCAGCTCACTGTGCATAGGTTGAGCCTTTTCAAAGTAAATAAAAATATTAAACAAGATACCATGACATTTCATGTCAAAACTTGTTACCCCAAAGGCCTTGCTGTTTAGCTTACAAATCAATTTGGTGACCTTAAAACAAGGCAGTCCTGTTTAGTACTAAGCATTGGAAAAAATACTTCTTGAGACCTGTGATCTCCTGCGGGCAGTTTTCCTCACCCAGAGACCATTTGATTCTTTAACAATTTATTTCTCATTTGAAAGTGTCATTTTTTAATCACTGGGATACAATCTGTTAGAATCCTTTGCACTAACAAGGGCCCACCTGGAGGCCGACGCGGATCCGCTTGGTTAGCGCCCCCTCCGGGAACACCGCCTGCACCTGCGGCACCACCGTGCTGCTCAGCACGCCTCCCTCCGGGCCAATCAGGTTGCTGTCCTGCTTGATGCGGGACACCACGGCGAAGTACTGCGGGAAGTCTCGCGTGATGATGCGGCAGATTCGTTTCTTTTCCAGGTCTTCGGGGCTGTCCAGCACTGAAATGAGAAAGGGCCCACGTTCATTCATACCGCGCGGATTTCCTGAAAGCGTTCTAGCAAATTCATCAGCATGGCTAATAGGGAACAGATGTAGCAGCCAGCTCTCTCTCTCTTTTTTAAAGGAAAGAGTTTAAAAGCAGGGCTAGCCTAATATCATTAAGAAAATAAAATGCGATTTTTCAAAACCTACCCGCATTTAGCCTGCAGGGTTTTTTTTTTTTTTTCTTTCTTTGTGAAAACTAGGACTCTCCAAGGCTCTGTGAAAGAAGAGCATCTCATTGGAGATGCAGTGTTGCAGGGCCACCTTTGTTAATGAAAAGGCATGAGGACAACTAAGGAATGAAAATGAACCTGTTCTATTCTTGGTTCCTGTGATGGAGAGGAAGTTGTTTATAAACTCCTTCTCTTTGAAAATTTCACAGTTAGCTCAAAGACCAGTTATTGTGGTTTTAAGAAGAAAGAGGGCCTTTTGAGTTCTCAGGGGAATAGTGTAGAAACAAAATCTGTTTTGGAAAGGAAAGGTTTGTTTTTATGTTTTTTTGTTTTGTGTTGTTTTTGACAGAGTCTCATTTTGTCAGCCTAGGTAGAGTGCCATGGACTCATAGCTCACAGAAACCTCTCTTGGGCCTCCCACATAGCTGGGATTACAGGCGCCCACCACACTGCCTGGCTAGTTTTCAGGGGTCTTGCTCTTGCTCAGGCTGCTCTCAAACCCCTGATCTCAAGCAATCCACCTGCCTTGTAATAACCAAGCCCCCAGCCCTTGATCCCCCTCCCTAAGACCAGTAGGGAACAAACCCCCTACCCTTGAAAAGGAAGCCTTTCCTAAGCTTTTAGTTCCAGCCCTCTCAAGGGTAGAGAAACAGCCTGAAATTGAGGAAGTATGCAGGGAAGGGTTGAGGAAAGGAAAGTTGGATTCCAAATAAAGCCGGGGATAAAAAAGGTCTTGAGTTGTTCTTGGAAATTTACCCAACACTTGTTTTGTACCCCTGAATTATGAGCTAATGTACCCTAAGTAAACATGTGCCTCCACCCTGAATTGTGTAAACCCCTATGACATACCCCACCTTGTGATTATGAAGTAATGTACTTGTGATATATCTTGTGATGTATGAATCAATATGTACCCCTACCCTGTGACCCCATTCTAACTGCTATGATTGGCTTCTGTATTGGCTAGCTTGCTAGTCACCATGACTATGTAGAATAATGGTATAAAAAGGCTTCTCCACAGCTATTCAGAGCTTCTTGTTGGCCCACTACAAGAGCCCCCGCAGGTGCACCTGTAGGTGTATCAAATTATTAATAAATTTCTATTACTTAATTATACTTGAAGTGGGGTCCATCCTTCTCTCGCATCTACTGTCCCATTTCAGCCTCAGCCTCAGCTTCCCAGAGTACTAGGACTACAGGCGTGTGTTTATATGTTTATTTCCATGTGATGGTTGTGTTTGAGTTAGTCACTGTGTCTATGAAAAAGGATATCAGTGATTATGTATTCAGGATTTCAATTTCTCTTGATGCCATTAACTTATGAAATGTATCATCTGGTATCAGGAGGATGGAATCATGAGGTCTTTATACTTTGCAGTATAGATATTTAAGGCAACACAAAAAAATCAGACTGGTTTAAAATGTAGAAATTTGAACTAAAGGGATGACTCAATTTTAAGGGATTAGGGAAAGTTGTTCATTTTTACAGATCATTCTTTAGAGTCAGGAACAACTATGTTTTGAGAAATTGCAGGATCTGATCATACACAACTGAAGACCAATGCACTGGCAAATACTAGCATATATTTATAAAAGAACATCGCTCCAAACATACAAACATAAACAAATCTGATTTTTTGTTTTAAAAAGAGCCTTTTACATAGGTAGGAAGTTTTGAACAGGTCCCGGTCAAAAGGCAAGATACCTGTATATTCTTAGCAGTATCATTAACTGGTAAATATCTCAGAGGGAAATATCTTAAACCTAAATGATAGGAAAAGAAATGATTCCAAGAAGTGGAAGCAGGAAAGTATGGCAGAGAGCAAGCTTTATCAATAAGAACCTTGATCTTTTTTACTGTGCTCAGAAAATGTTGACCTACTAGCTGTAGGGCATAATTTCTTGCTCCCCTCCACACTTTGGATAAGGTGAGCTTGGCCTCTTCTTATTTAAACCTCAGCAGAAAGCAGAAGGAAATACTGAGCTGTGGTTAGGCTACTCCTTACTCTACGGGAAGTATACCAGAAGCTACTGCCGAAGTCCTGGATGAAATATAACTTGATAAACAGTTGTACTTGTTCCTGAGTATCTAGCTCTGTATACAACTTGGCATGTTCTTGGCAGTTAGGCAAAGAACTTGCCCCATTTGTGTAGTTTCTAAAAGTTGAATGTGCTTCCTGGTATTAGGACTAAGACTTTTTCTCTGTGTAACCGCTGGAGGCCTGAGAATGAGCTGCTTCCCTCCAGTCAAACTAAGATATTACAACCTGTGGTTTACTGGCCCCAACCAGATTTGGGATTGATGGAGATTAAAGCTCCAATGAAAAACCAAGTTGCTCAACTAGATGTGTATCCAATTCAATCCTGGCTAACTCCCTGTTGGAATTACAGGTATAAGAGTGAATGAACTTAATTTTCCTTAATAATAGAAAAGAAGAAATAATATAAAAAGAAATATTATCTTATGTATAGGTATAAGTTAAGTTCTACAACAGAATAGCTTAGCACTTTTTATCTTAATTATCTAAGTTTTCAAGTTAGGCATTTTTAAAAATCAAGGATTTATTATCCAATATTAGTTCATTTTGTTGTGAAAACATCGATTCTACTCTTGTTTTAGGTTCAAAAGAATTCCCATTAAAGACAGAAGCATGCTGTATCTCCTTATTAGATAGATGTTTGCTATTTTAAAGGATTTTATTTTTCGGAGTGTAACAGAAGTAAGACTAAGTGGAAGTATTGTGTGTTTCAACTCTTTGTCGCTGGAGCAGAACAGATTACCTGCTTAGTTAAGTTCCACAACGGCCACACACTCCTCTCCTGGGTCATGAAAAAGAAATGCACCATTTCATGCCTCCACTTCAGATTTTTTTTAAAAACTCTAATCCAAAGCTACCTTCATCCATGCCATTCAGAATTTCATTCAGTTCGTCTTCAGTGTACTCGCAGTAATGTTCTTTCCAGCTGTCCCCGTTCTCACTGCGCAGGACCACCAGTTCCCTCTCCTTTCCTCGAAGAGCCGCAAAGTGAGGGATCTCCACGATCACAGGCCTGATGTAGCAATGCAGAACATTTAGTGTGGAGAGGAGCTAACCAACAGCACAACAAGCACCTCAACTCTGTCTGTTGCAAAGTGACCTGGAATTCTTCTCTTTCTGGGGACAGGGAGGAAGCGGGCCATCCTCTGGAGCCCGTTGGCTAGCAGATGGTCACACAGTAGCACTCCTCCTCAGGGGCACCAAGCCTCGGGTACATGCTGCTACCTTAAGCCAAATGACGTTTCCCTGTGAGTGCATGTGGCATTCTGGAACTTCTCCTTTGATCAATGTAAGTATAACACATTTAACCAAAAGAAATGGACATGCATATCTATGGTATGTGCCAATCTCCTAAAACATTTTCTACAAGGTGCAAATGACAAAATGATTTAAGAGAGAAAATGGCGTAGACGTTGCATAATTTGATGTGTCCTAAATGAGGAGATGTCAGAAAAGTCGACTACCTGGGAACTAGGGAGCCATGCACTCATGATTTTTGCTTAAATTGTCTTCATTCAAGGAAACAATAGGCATGTGTACACAGCGCGGCCCCAATCGAGGCCCTCAGCAGACGGCCCAGTCGTGTCCAATGCCTATTATACTCAGGATTCAGAACATGCACTGCCCTGCTATGTCGAGGTCACATTCATTCTAGAAATATATGGAGACTTTTGATTTTTGAGTCCAGGTTGCTTTGATACAGACTCCAAATTCATCATAACAACATCATCACTAGCACATCGTACAACTAGGCAGATCTCATGCGTCAACAAAAATGAAAGTCACAGCACTTTAAGGGAAAAGATATAAAAACATCACTCAAAAATAAAAGTCACATACCACAAGGGTCAGAAATGGTCCACTAAAGATAGGTTATACAGAATTTAAATCATAGAGAGGGACATGTCATGGGCACAATGACAAAAAGAGAAATCATATTGCAGAAGAAGGAGAAGAATGGGGGCCCAGCAGCCATCAATTTGTTTTAAGTCACTCCTACCCAAGGAATTTGGTTCCAGGAGGCCCCAGCTGAAGGATGCGGCTGACCAAACTTTCTCCCTCATTAAGTGGGGGAGGAGCCGTAGGCAGGTGAAGTTTACTGAGTACATCCAAAGCAGCAGTGAAAGAAAGAACATAAGTAAGCTTCAGGTAGTGTTTTCCACAGAACCCCAGCGTCACCAGCTGAGCCACAGGGTGAACTCTGGTTTCACACTGCGTTTGGTTCTGCCCCCTCCATTGGTCACAAAGAGCGAGCAACCGAGACCCAGAGTGTACAATGGAGGCGCGTCTGTGCAGGGAGAGCACTAGCTGTCAGATCTGTCCCTCTTTAGGTTCACCGCCAGGGCACTAGCCAAAAAAGGGGGGGGGAAACGCTCCACAGGAAACACAAGCTGTTGGGAATATAGTAAAAACTCCGCTCTGCACAGAGATCAGATGTTTTCATGGATATTCCCCAACAGATGTGAAGATTATTAGAAAGTCTGAAACTACCTAAGAATCAGGGAAAAAGGGCCTGATACAGAATATAAAAGAATCCATCAGGGAATTATTCCAAACACAATGGCATTGTCTGATGCAACCCAGAACTTCACAGGCTCCTTCTAAAGCTCTGGGCTACCCAATGGGAGGACATGAGAGGTGGTTTGCATAATTGGGAAATTAGAAACACACCCCTTTTCAGGTGTGGATATAATTTGGAGCAACCTGCTGATCGTTCGCTCCAAATTACAAAGCTTTAGAACATTCCTCGGGTTCTAAAGCGAGAAATCCTGTCCCCAAGATGACCTTGGCAAAGTAAGAGTTCATGAGTTTTAGGATTTTTCTCCTAGGTTTTCAAGCACTCTGAGACTTGATATGACAAGACTTAAATACAATTGATCTGTTTCAAGGTGTTTTGAAACTTGTCCCCTCCAAAACTTCATCCTTTTGTTAGTGTTCAGCAGTAGCTAGTCACGTCTTGGCACGCTGAGATGCCACTTAATAGAATAACAGCTGTACAAATAAACAGAAGAAATGCTAATTTCTGCTCAAAACTGCTAAAACGAGCATGGCTGAAGATAGTCTTGATGGTTTTGTCTTAATGCAAACTGTGACTAAGTAGACTTCCAGTGTAATTATAAGGCTCAAGGTAGCAATTTTGATCGCAGAAAAAACCAAATCACATAAGCTAAGTTTTTAAGTCCCCGTAAAGGCAGCACCACTTTCCAAAAGTGAAGATCATGATTCCGTTTCATACCAACATGAGACTTTAAATTTAGGTTTGAAATAGAGCAGCATTTGTTTTCTTTATGACTTTACTATTTATAGCTCTCAGATGAGAAAACAAAAATACCTACCATTGTTAAAACATGGTTATTCATGTTGGGAGTCTGGCAGCTGTTACCACATCCAAGGAGCAAGAAAAATAACCAACCTGAACGTTTAACTCAAGAATGCCTTAAAGTAAGAGGCATTTCAGTGGAGTCAAACCTTGAGGTGCTACTTCTGCGTTGTTAAAATTTCAGAGGAGCCAATCCTCCTTCGAAGTGGTTTGACATACCTTTTCCATTCCATCCTAGGGCTCTCATGCAGAGCACACAAGCTCATCGGTGACTAAGTTGGAGGCTTATCAGAAACCCTTACCCAAGGAACTGAGCACCAGAAGGTCCAACTTCGATCAGGCGACTGGCCAGGCCTTCTCCTTCCACCATTGGGGGCATTGTGGCCAGCCTGTGACGTTTGACCAGGCGGCAGGTGACTCGTGTGGGAGCAGTACATTTCCGAGGCGGGATAATGATTCGGAGCCCGTTGTGTCTGCATCCTCGCATAGCACCACCTCGGGCATCCACCATAAAACTAACCAGAAAACTAAAAATCAAAATAGAAGGTTAGATATGTTTTGAAAGACCAGAGGCAGATGCACAAGCTCTGTGAAGTAAATTTTTCTCTGTCACGCTTTGTACTTAAAACACCGCTTTTTAAAAACAATTATTTAAATGCATATGGTGGTATAACATTGGTTTCTTAAAAATTATTTTACTTTCTAGCAATGCCTTTATTTCTGTTTGGCTTTGGTTTTCATGTTTGTATTATTTAAATCTGTAACTAAAGGAAAATTCTGATTTTTGTTAACAATAGCAACATTAAATGTAAGCTGTAAATTAAAAATATGTCCAGTCGATTTTGAAAGAAAATGGAATGAAAGGGTATAAAGAATATTGACAAGTCTTCTTTTGCTACAAATACAAAGACCTTTGCTTCCTTGTATATATGTCCTAAAAAATCCACGTGGAAAATTACATGAAATAAGGTAAGACTAGAACAGAGAGGAAGCACCAAATCGCAGGGGGGTTTGCACCCTGCTCCAACATCATCTTACCCAGGAGGCAGGTTTTCAACTGGTCCCACTCTAAAGGAGGAGGAAAGCAAAGTAACTAAATGTCTGGGACAGAACTGATGTGCTGGTTAAAATACACCTTTTCACTTTTAAGAAGGAATCTCTCTGCCATGCCAATCTAATTGAAGCAAAGAGGAGTGGGACAAGGAACAGCTAGTGTCCCCTCTACCTTTTTCAAAGTGAAATTTCAGGAGGGGGAACCCTTAGGCCCATCCTCTTGGAGGATACCTACGTATCATGGTTTCCCGCAATCACAATAAACTGAATGTGGAAAATCATGGCTAGTCATTTAGAAATGTAAAGTCATCTCTGTTATATTTGCTCCTTTTCTGCTAAGTGTTCATGAAAAGGAGAACTATACTCTGAGGTGACTTGGTTTGTTTAAGTATAGGAAAAGGTTAGTCTTGACCTTGAAGTTGTTTTCTTGGGATCCTAATCCAGCTTAATTGAATGCCTGTCACTTCATTAGTCCTAACAGTCATTAACGTCAAGGAGCAAAAATTAAACAACACAGCAATCCAGCTGTTGTGCACACATACACAGAGACACAAACACGCTCACATGAATTACGTTAATGTCTTCCCCCAATTTCATTGCAGTTTCAAGATCTTCACACCATAGTAGAGGTGTATTATGAAGCTACTTATAACTTAGCCAGCACAGAATCATACTAGATTCGCCAGCCCTAGACATTGTCTCCATGACAACATTTAAAACATTTGAGAAGTATTTCATCAAAGTAAGTTATGGGATATAAACAATACATTTATAGTATTTTTAGACAAATGAAGAAAAAAATGTCTGAGCACCCTCTTCACAGCAGGACACAGAACTTATTAAACATGCTGGTAAGCAGAAACCTGTTGCTAGTAATTACAATGGGTGCGCAGGAGCCCAGAGGGCCTAAGCACATCATGCAGCAGGAAACCGCCAGGAGAGGAGGCTCAGGCCTTGCCACATGCAGGAGCCAGGCCGGACCTCCCATTCACACTGAGCCCTTTAAGCTGAAGGGGTGAAACCTGGAAAGTACAATCAACAATTCAGTACTGAAGTGTTGATGTTTCTGGTCTTTATCAAAATGTAATCAGAAAATTAAGTATAAATTTCTTTAAATTTTTCTTTTTTACTTGACTTTCACAGATATGTTTTCCTTCCATTACATTATTCATATCTAAGTATGATATTATGTCAAATTGTGTAAAAAAGTAGGAAAAAATTACTTAAGTTTCAACTAATACTGCTTCCAAATTCATTGCAATCTTTCAGACTCATTGATAATTAATATTTCCTTTGATTTCGTTTCCATCTTTTGGTTGTAACCACCATTGGTGCACATAAAATAGAACTCAAAAATAGTAAGAAATTATTATTGTTATCAGTCCTTGATAATATTTATCCCTTTTGAAAGCACTGAGAAGTTTCCACATTCATGTTTTGTGCTAATACATTTCTACTATACTTATTCCAGTGAGGGTTATGGTGTATATAATATCAAACATCTATCTAGAAGAATATGTAGACTGGCGTCTGGTGGCTCATTCTGTAAATGGTGAATTGAAGCAGCTATGCTCTTGACTATCACAATGCTTAAATGACTACGTATTAGATTACTTTCCTTCATTCTGTGTCACTGACTGTTCCTCTTGAATCCCTCTTTTTATGGTCACTGAGTCCACAATTTCTAAACTCCTTTTTTCATGCAACATTTGCTACCTTTCTATTATGTGCAAGATGCCCCGCTAGGAAGTGGGGATACAAAATGTAAAGACACAGCAGCTGCTGCCACAGCCTGAGCCCCAGATGTCACATGACGGCTTCATCATGGCTGGAAACCGCCTACTTTCCTGGTCAATGAGAAAGGACCACGTAAGTCCCCAGATAGGAGCCATGTGAAACAATCAGTGACTGTGCTCCCCATATTTCTTCCGGTGTTCCCTGGTGCTTAGCACATTGTATGTAGCCAATAAATAACTACTGAATAAGCAAAGGAATGAAAGAATGAAAAGGGCAAGTTATCTGTATTTATGTTAAACAAAGGAGGCTAAAGTAGAAGGCAATGTAATTCTTCATCTATGGACAATCAAAGCAGTCAGAATTCAGTCCAATTATTCCACCCAGATGTAGCAAAGTCATTGGGAAGGACTATCCTTAATGTTAAATATTCAACAGGCCTATGCCTGCTACAAAATGACAGAGTTAATACATTTATTTCCCTTGACAGAGGATTAGGAGAGGGTGAGAGCAAAAAAAACAAAACAAAGAATTTGAATCTAACAACATGAACAAAGTTATTAGGAATAAAGATTACATGAGGAAAGACCAAAGACAGGGAAATCAAAAGTACTTAAAGACTAAAGCTGCAAGTAAATAATGTATCTACAAGTATCTCTGTGTCATTATAGATCTGGAAAATGATATTTAAGTGTTGAACCAAAATGAAAAGCAAATTGAAAAAATTAACTTGTGAATATGCATCATTCAGAGAAAAAAATTGAATTTCTTTTATTTATTTATTTATTTTTTTTTTTTTTGAGACAGAGTCTCACTATGTCGCCCTGGGTAGACTGCCGTGGTATCACAGCTCACAGCAACCTCCAACTCCTGGGCCCAAGCAATCCTCTTGCCTCTGCCTCCCTCAGGTGCCCGCTATAATGCCTGGCTACTTTTTTGTTGCAGCTGTCATTGTTGTTCAGCTGGCTTAGGCAGGGTTTGAACCCAGCAGCCTCCATGAATATGGCCGGCGCCCTATCTACCTACAGAGCTATGGGCACCACCAAAAAACTGAATTTCCAAAGAAGACAAACTTTTATGTTTTTATCAAGTAACTAAAAGAAGTAAGGAAAGGATAACAACTAAAAATGCCAACAAGTTCTGGTGATGGAATTTTTTTAGAAAGAGAAAGTGTTGAGAGAAAAGAGAAAAGAAAGTTAAACAAAGATGTGTCAGGACATAAATAAAAAGAAAGGAAGACATAAAAGAGCTCAATATCAGTAGTCAAAAAATGAATAAAAGTGTTTATAAATCTAGCAGAAAAATTCTAAGCTAATCGGACTCAAATTATATAAAACTGCATCATAAAAGAAATGATCAAAGGAAATAGAAAAAATAATGACTCAAGTTTGCATCCAGGCACTCAGGAACAGTCTATGGATAAGTCAACCCCAATAGTTTATAGTATAAACTGAGTTAGCATTTGAGCATTTTCATTTAAAATATCAGAAGATCCCAAAGTGCCCCTATTCATACAGGTAATCGAATTAGAGGACAGTTAAGGATAGTTTTCCTGCAATATATAAAACAATTGCAAAGAAACAAATTGTGGCAGACCCTTTACCTTTATGTACCATTGGAAAAAGTGGGAAGTCATGACTCGTGTGATGCATCAATTCATAAGTCAGAGTTGATTGAATAAATATGATTTTTCTCATGTTCACAAGAGATTAAATTTGGGCTAATATAATGCACATAAACATTTGGAGATGAAAAGAATTAAAGCAAAGACATAGGATTAAACATGTACAGAAGAGACAGTATATAGATTGAAGCTCAACTTTGCCATCTGTACAGTGTGGAAGCCTCACCTGTCACAGCAAGATAATCCTACTGCCTCTTAAGTGAGAATTAAGTCATGTGTGGGGAAAGCACAGGGAATTCAGTCAATGCCTATTCTCATCATTTTCTTTTCTCTAAATCTACAGGATTCTACATATTATTAATATCTTAAGAATAATAATATACTACAATACACTACCCGAAAGATAAATGGAGAAACTAACATTTGTTGATTACCTAGGACAAACCTGAAACTGAGCTAAGAAGTTGAATGTGATGATGGATTTTTGTTAGCTTATGAAATTTACTACTTAAATAAGATATAAAAATAGTGTTATCACAGAACACAGGATTCTGTAGTGAGTACCATGCTCTTTCCTGGGTCTAGATATATCTCTCTTGAATTAATGTTATAACCTCAGGAAAGTCACTTAACATCTTTATGTTTCAGTTTCCTTATCTATAATGAAAGAGACTTGGATTAAAATTTAAGTAGCCTCTCCGTATTAAAATTCTGTGTACCAGGTACTGGTAACTAGGTTGGGAAACCTACTTCAATGTTCCATTTCAGATGTTCTGAAAACAATTCCTAATTGGAAAATAAATTGCTGTTACTTCAAAAAATACAGTCGGACCTCCCTAGGTGAGCGCTTCCCTGCATTGACCACCTCCTTAAGCTGACCTAATTTTCCGAGACCAGACAGGCACTGCATGTATCAATACAGTAGGCCTAGTTCCTTTTGTTGCCCATCTCCATATGTTAACCAGTTTGTTACAGTCCCTTGGGTAGTCAGCTTACAGAGATTCTACTGTGCATATTATATTTGCTCTGTGGTTAAAACAGCTGCTTTGCAGAAAATGTGTACACAGGCTGCCCTAAACATTGACTTAAGACTACAGACAAAAAAATAATCACATA